GGTTAACCGAGGCGTCGGTTAATCGGGGGTTGGATAATCGAGGCTCTACTGTATTAAGGGTCTGTTCGTCCCTCACAAATTGTTAAAAATAGAGAAATGACACACAATACAGTATTAAATAACCAAACAAATGAAAAAAGCATTGAAAACATACAAGCATAATGCGAGAGTAAGAGATGACTTGGACACCAACAGACTGCGTTTGTTGGACACACATCAAACTGAGTTTGTTTATACTGCACACACAGTATATTTTTTTACTGTGTGTGCAGTTCAAATTCTGAGGTGAAATTTTGTCAAATTTTGTGTTTTAAGTACAGGGTACCACTGTATTTTTGAGGTTTCTCATAACATAATAATTTTTCTGAAACACTTAACTATTATTTTGTAACCAACTTTGAGAAATTTCTAATTGAAGTGATTTTACAAATTTTCTGAAAATTTATGAATTAGATTTCACTCTTGCCACATTTCTATTGTAATTGAGACAACTATTTACATAAAACCTTTTTCTATACTAATATTATAAAGAGGTAATGTTTGTAAGTAAGTAAGTTTGGATGTAGTGGGTAATCTCCGAAACTACTCATTCGATTTCAAAAATTCTTTCACCAATATTTAGAATGGAACTTTAGGGTGGACATAGGCTGTATATTATTCCGTAAACATTCATATAAATTAAAACATATCATCTAGGGCTAAGGCTTTTATGTCCAACAGATGGTGCTACGAGTATGATGCACTAAGTTTGCTTTTATGTGAGGATGAACTAAAGCAGATCGTCTTCTATCTATCTATATAAATAAAAATGTAATGTTTGTTTGTTCCTACCGATTTCTTTGAAATTCTGACACAACGCTGCATTCAAATGTGCATGTGTTTTTATATAATACTAGCTGCAAGGACCTGCTTTGCTTGGTTTTTATTTGTTCATACATTTGTATGTAATATAGTTTTTTTTTTATATGTAAAAGACTGTTTTTCTAAGTAGTCTAGAATCTAGCTGCAAGGACCTGCTTCGCTGGGTTTTTATTTGTGGGCAAAAAGTAACGATAGTGAAGATTAAGATAATTACATTATAGCCAATCTTACCCATTTTCACAGAATGCAAGAATTAGGTCTCCCGTTTCCAGACGTTTCCAGATAATTTTTACATGAGCATAAAAATATGTTCGATTTCCCGCAAAAGCACAAAAAACAGCCTGTAAATCTTGCATGCTGCTTTATATTAACAATTCCTGGTTCCGATTCTATTTCTGAACGTCTGTTCACGTCCAGTCAAACAAACTATTTTCAACGTTTCTGGAACGTTTACGATCGTTCTATAATCGAACCAATATTCGAATTTCATGTTTGAATTTAATCTGTTCGAACAAAACATTCGAAATAGAAAGCCATTTTCAACCACTTTCAAGTCCATATCTCCCGTATCCTTATAGCTATCGAGACGCAACCCCCCTGGTGTACGAATGGAGACTTGGGGCTACTACCACATACAAACACCATTCACGTACGATGTGTGGTTTTGGCGGAAAAGTGAAATATAGGGACATACATGTGCATTTATATATATATAGATAGATACATGTTGAAATTTCCCTCACTGGGGGAAGATGGACAAGATTAAGGCTTACAGTAAAGAACTCTGCTTTTATTTATACTATTTCAAATGCGGTTTTTTGTGTTTTTGATTGTGTTTTAATAGGGTACGTCAAGAGAATGTACGCTAAGAAGGGATTTTTTGAAAAATCCCCCCCGGGGAAGTGTTATACATTTATAATAGATACATTTTGAGCCACAAAAACGCGTGGCGGGGTCTGCTAGTCTTTTAATAAACAAAACATGCAAACATTTTTCTAATTAAATAGTGAAACTAATCTAAGATTTATAGCCATTTTGATTATTGGTAATTAAAATAGTGTATAACAATCCTTTTTATATGATTTAACCCTCTCAGACCTGAATTTTTTCTAGGCATCAAAAACAATTTTATTGTGGTATTTTTGAAACCATGCCAGTAATCTTTGTAATTCAAACACAAATTATTTATTGTATTTATACAGACACTTGGCAAATAAACAGAATTAAATTTTATTCAGTTGAATAAAATTTAATTCTGTGATTTGCCAAGTGTCTGTATAAATACAATAAATAATTTGTGTTTGAATTACAANACTTTATGCAGCAGAAGGTATTGCTACTCTTAAAATGGGAGAAATAGAAAATATGGAGAAAAAAGAGAGGAAGATCCTTCGGAAAATTCTGGGGCCAAAAATAGATGAACATGGTAACTACGTGCTAAGGAGCAATAAAGAGCTTTATCAAAAAATCCCAAGACTCTCGGATACAATTCGGAGAAGGCGAGTAAGCTTCTTTGGGCATATAAAGAGAATGGGGGAAAATAGGCTAACGAAACAAATTTTTACGTATTTCAACAACCTAAAGAATAAGAATCAATGGATCAATGACACTCAAAAAGACATGGCAGAAATGGGCATATCGGAAGAAGATATCCAGAACAGGGAAAGGTTTAGAAACAAAATAAAGAACTTCAAGGGTTTTCAGGAAAAGGAAAGTAACAGACGTGGAAGACTCTTCACTCAGGAGCAAAGACAACAGCAGAGCGAGAGAATGAAGAGGTATTAGAAAAAAAGGAAGAAGAACAAAGGGAAGGGAAGAGGGAAAAGCAAGTCATAATTAGTTGTACGTGGTCCAAAGATGGCTGGAATCGACACAAGAAGAAAATGTTATTTTGATACAATGTCCATTGGAATGGACAAACAGATTCAACTGTATTCCAGTAGTATGAAAATTTTTAAAGCAGTTTCTTTTACTAAACATAAATGCACTTTGTATTTTTGACAATATATGTGAGTTTTTTTAGTGTATCCTGGCATTTTGAGGCTTCTTTCTCATCAAATTCTGCAAAATGATTCATTAGATTGCGAGCAATCTCTTGTGCAGGGTCGATTTCTGTTTTTAATTTCTTTGGCATTTGTTGTTCATTGCTTCTTGGTCTGCCATGTTTATTTTTATTTTCTGCACCTATTCTAACAAGTCCCTCACTAATTCTTAATTTAAAGTGGAGCAAATCCAATGGTTTCTTTTCTTTCAATCTTTCCATGCCCCTCATATACACCAACCAACTATTTACGCATGGTAAATCCACTGCATTGAAATAACATTCTTGGTGTCCATTTTTGAGATTTCAAAAATACCCTATACATACTAACTAACACATCTAATTGAAGGGTGTAGATGCAAAAGTCACACTCTCACCTTTTTAAGATTTTTGGAAAAATGCAAAAAAGTATTTATTGTTGACATACATGATATATTATAACAAATTTTTTTAATGATATCTTTGTTGGCATAGAAACCACTTGCACACAGCCTCAAACTCTTTGTAAAGGAGGGAAAACTGGGATATAACTTTAAAATATGGTCAGTGTGAGTTTTGCAACAAACTTATATGGAGAACCAAACCAACCAAAATAGTTAGTTATAAACCAAAATAGTTAACATAATATCAACAGAACTGGAGCAGACAATCTCATGATGGTGTGCACCAGGGGTTCTCTGATTGGTTGAATTAGAGAGAGTGAATTTTGCTGCAAAACAGCTGTTGGATAATATGACGTATGCTTCAAAACGTAATTTTCAACAATTTTTTCAGCCTAGAAATGTGAATTTAGGACAACAACACTATTACAGTCTTATTTGCCTTTACAAGACGAATATGGTGATATGAATAACTCAATACCGCCAAAAATTGGATAATGTGACTTTTGCGTCTATACACTTCAATTTATCAACACCACCCATGATTATAATGACGAACAATCTCAGAGCATTGCACAGTTACATATTCATTTTTTTTTTTCTTTATCCCATTGTCATACTTTATCTTGTGCACCACATCCTATAAAATTTAATGCCAAAATTATAAGTCTATTGTCAAACCATTTGCATATCACAATTTTGTTATCTAAACTTGAAACTTCTTCTGAGTAACTATGATGTTTTTCTTTACAATAACAACAGACAAGGAAATAATGTTGGGAAAATGGAAAATTCTAGCTATGCATCTGTCACAGAATGACTAGAATGCACACTAGGGGACATCCCTAACAATGATTTTCAGCTATAATATATTTATTAACAGTATATATTATTATTTTTGTTTGTAATAGGAATTTATTATTTATATGAATTTTATTATTTATACTAATGAATGACACCGCTGCTGCTAGAACACCCACTAGGGGGTGTCCTGGACTATCTCGTTTATAATAAAATCATAACAGATGCCACTTCTTCCAATAACAAAAATATTTTTATATCCCAAGGATTAGGTTTCCCTTTACAATATTGTTGTATCGCCAAATGGCCTTGTAGGTACCATTTGCTCATCAATGTACAGCTGATTTTCCGTTTCCAGATTACTAAGCATTTACTTATAAGTTAAAAATTGGTCTGACTTTATAAAATTTATCTTTACAATTTTCTGGCCTTAGTAAATCATTTACTACATCAAAATTTGTTCTCAACTGAAAAAATCTCTCTTTACTCATGGCATTTACAAACAAATCTAAATGTAGAGCTGAATCCCAGTACATTCTTATCTTGGGATATTTGAGGTAGCCCATCATCATGTGAAGTCCTATAAAGGATCTAACTTCTTTAAAATTTGTAGATGTGAATGATTTGTTCTGTTATAGTTGAATTTATATTAGTTTTTTTTCAACCATGCTTTCTATACAAGCATCTGTAACATAGCTGAATATCTCCCAATAAAATATTTTTCAAACTGTAGATTCATTGAGTTACAAGAGTTGGATACAGTATTCACATTTGGTGGTATAAATGGTCTTCTTCTCCATTTGATTTTTTTTTCCAGAAAAAACCCAATCACACAGAACATTATCAGTACTGGTGTCTACTAACTGTTGTGATGAAGCTAATGTATCCAGTTGATCAGCATCATCATTCTTTTGCACTTCTACTTCTTCCTGACCTAATATAGAACCTGAATTCAAAACCTAATATAGAACCTAAATGATATTTAATAGTCATTAATAAAAATGATGTACTGTAGTTACTGTAAAAACTATTTAGTTATACCTACCTATTCTAATATGAGGCTGTTCAACACCAACATCACAATCAGTCTCATCACTGTTCAAACATGAAAAATCAGAAACATTGCCTGATGACAGCAGTTCCAAAATTTTATCATTATCCTTCCCAAAATGAAGATATTATAAACATTAATAAATAAAAACAATAAAGATCTGTTCTCACACCTTTCACTGATAGCAAATGAGGTATAAAGAATGATGTCTGTGAAAGTCGTGTTCATATTTTTATTTGCAGCAGGTTATAAAAAAATAATTCATAATTAACAAGATATCAGTATATACCACTTAAGAAATTGTTTTTGTTAAAAAACAAGGTACAAATATAATTACTCATATTGTGAAACTAAAATCTTAAAGATCAAACTGGCAAAATTACCATAGAGTCAGAATGTACATTGTAATGAACCAAAATTTGTAAGTCTAATTTGTTCAAAACAGGAATGTTTGTGTAAAATGAAATAGTTTTACACAAACATTCAAGATTAATATTAACATCTAAAAAATACAACTTGAAAGACAATACTAACAAAATATACAGAAATAACCATCTACTATTGACATTCTTTTTTTGTAGCCATCTTGTCTATTTTACCTTAACAAGGTTTCTGTATTTAACCACTAGATAGCTTAAAAATTTTCCATATAATTAGACAAACAGTCCCAGAAGGCATCTACAATTCCACTTTTGTTATTAGCTAATGAAAATCATGTTCATTGAAACTGGTCACTTAGTAATATTTAAAAATAAGAAGTGGCAAAACCTCTTTTTGTGCTGTGAAAGTAACATCAGAAACACTATATTAAATGTAATAACTTCCCTTATTTAGAAGACTTCATATTTTATAGGGGAGGTGGAATACTGTAGCATCACTTCGTCATGCAAAGATGGTTACTATATAGTGGCAGCAGGGATTGTACACAGACTGGAAACTAATTATATGAGCAAAATACATTTAGGAATGAGTCCATATTTTCAGCTTTGCAGCAAATGTTTATCTAGTGTAAACAGTAGATAAACATTTGACATAAAATGTGTTTAATTTTCTTATGTCATAAACTCTTCAAGGAGGCACTTCTTTACATTACTAAAACTCAATGAATGGTTGCTAAAACAATAGGCACAGTTCTGGTTCCTGCTGCAATGCTGAAAATATGGGCTCATTCCTAAATGTATTTTGTTCAAATATAATTCATTTCCAGTCTGCATACGATCATGCTGCCAAGGGTGGAACGGAAGCTTCTAACCAAACTAATTAGAGACAAAAGATGGTTACTATATTATATGACATAGAGCTGATCAACAAAAATTATGGCATTTCCTATAATCATGAAAGTGAAATTCTGCTGTACTGACAGTGTCAATTATAACTGAATGAAGTATTTTAAATTAACTGATATACAGGCATACCTCGACTTACGTCGTTCCCGATTATACGTCGCTTGTTAAAAAAGTATATCGAAAAATAAAAATCAAGTTTAAGTCATTTTATTCGACTTTACGTCTGTCCGCCACAAATATTGAAGTCATAATATCACTAGATAAACGTTTAAAGCACATAAAATCATATTAAAATATATACAAGTATGTACTGTATTTACAGTACATGCATACTGTATTTTTTTGTACTATATTAAAAACTAAAATTTATTTGTTTGTAAGCTTAAAATAGATTATTATTAACCATATATTATTAAAAATGCATTAATAAATAAAATACAGAACCGGGAATGGTAATTTACGGTTTAGTCTAGTGATAAGTAGATTCGGAGACAAGTAAATTCGACTTACGTCGTTTTCCTGGAACCAATTACCGACGTAAGGCGAGGTATACCTGTAATCACAAAGATGATATCCTTTTATTGAAAGGCTTTCTCTATGTTATTTTCATATGAAATGATTTTTCTTTTGTGTGTATGCAGGTGCTTCCCTACTTACAGACTTTCAGACTTGCAAACAATTTGACCATACATCTTAAATTTAAATTTTGCACAGTTATGAAGTTCTCTTGGGGTGGCATTGAAGTTGGGTTTTGGCCAGTAATAATAAATTTTTAATAAATAATTAACATGGGCTTATTTCTGTCACTTATCATCATTTTTCATTTTTGTACAAATTCTGAGATTCCATTGCCACTCGGGGTGGTGTTGGTAATATCAGAATAATGGCATTTTTCATTATTGTTTACAATTAGTGCTTCAAAAATATGTCCGAAACATAATAGTAAATCTAGCAGTGGAGATAAATGCAAAAGTTGTTTAATTACTGAGGAAACTAAACTGGACTTTATAAAACTAAGTGCATTAGGTGGAAAAAAACTGTCTTTGAAATGGCTGCTACTAAGCAATAGAAAGTGGGTAAATGAGCATAGTGCATTCTATTAAGTACAGTGGAACCTCTATATTTGTAATATTTGATATTTGTTACATTTTGATGACTTTTTTATTTTTCTATATATGTCAGTATTTTCTGTATTCGTTGCCATTCCCAACACCAGAAATGGCACTACAATTGCACACCCATGCCAATCAGCTAGCTGTGTTAGATAGCTATAGTCAATCAGTCTGCTTTTTGCGGTTGTCCTCATGTGTGTTGTTGAGTTATTGAAAAATCATCAATGTGAGAAACCAAGTTCCATTCGTTCCAAAGTGGCACCCAAATGTTGCTATAGTTAACCAAAATACAAATACATTCAATGATAATGTAATTGTCTACTTCAGAAAAGTTTTAAAAAGCAGACAAAAAAACACAACACTAGACAAGTTCTTTATTAAATTGAGTGTTATTGAATCATCGGCAAAACAGACCCCATGATCATAATTGGAATTATCTAATGTTTTAATTGATATGTCTTCTAAACAATAATACTATATTAATAATACTGTTCTTCCCCTTCTACCACTAAACTGTGTTTTATTTAGTACAACAAAGAAAAAGTTTTATAAACAACATAATTTTTATTCTTGTACTGCTTTTTGATAACAAGCACTGAGTTCAGCGTTAACACGATTTTCTTATATCGCAAGTACTTTCGATGAGTATTATATCGTCGTCCTCAGATCTGCACATTCTATTTTTTCAAATTTGTTCTTTTTTGCCTGAGGACGACGATATAATACTCATCAAAAGTACTTGCGATATAAGAAAATCGTGTTAACGCTGAACTCAGTGCTTGTTATCAAGAAGCTATACAATTTTGGCGTGAGTTTTATTTATTTAACTATTTCTATTCTTGTATCTTTTTTCAGAATGAGAATGGATTAATTGAATGTCAGTTATTTATTACGAGAAAAATTGTTTCTATATTTGTCATATTCCATATTTGTTAGGTCCTTAGAACAGATTAATGATGAATATAAAGGTTTCACTGTATATTGAAGGATCAAACACTAACAATAAGTGGTTATTACGTGCACAATTGTACTTTCTAGGTTAGTTTCTGACTTATGAATATTTCTACATAAAACCTTGGAAATCTAACCTGTTCATGTCATAAATATAATCTAATTATTTTACTGTATATGTGTAGTTTTACAATGTTTAAGTAATATTATTATTTTGTTTTAATTTACAGAAAGATACTTCCATCGAGGAAAGAACTCTCGCTCGTCTAATAAGTCATAAAAAAGTTCAAGAGAAAATTGCACAGTTTCGTAGTGAAAATCCTGAATTACAAACACTTTTACCCTCAGTTTTAAAGAAATGGGAAAAAAGAAGTTTATTAAAAGTTAAAACAGCAAATGCCGGTAAGAATGATATAAATAAAGTAAATCGTGAGTGTGATTCTGAAAATGATAACAGTTTAGAAAATTCAGAAAACACAAACAAGCAAAATGAATTAGAAAAAGAAAAATTAAACAGTATGTCCAATTCAAAAAATAAGCAAAGTTTTCCAAAAAAAGAAAAATTAAAAAAAATTCAAAGTATGTCTGTATCAGAGACTGACAAGGATCAGGTCGATGATACTATTGGTGAGACAATTAAAAATATTCCTGCAAAAAGATTGTGCAAAGAAATAAAAGAAATTCCCAACAAAGTTGAAGGAAGTATGCAAATTCTTCAGATAGATTTGGATAAATTGAATAAGGATGATGATATTTTCATTAATTCTGCAGTGCAAGATGACATTTCTAAATTTGACTTAACCAAACAAAAGTTATTGGATTCTTTTTTCTCAAATGGAAATGACAGCGATGGAGATAATTCAGACAATAACAATGATGACAATAGTGAACATTCTGTTTCAGAAAATGAATATCCTATTCACTCAAAGATGAAAACTCAGTTTGTTAGCAGTTTATCAAACAATAGAAGAAAATTTCCTAGTAAAGTTAAACCAAAATCATTTTCTAAGCAAGTTCACAACAAAAGGTAATTAATACTTTATTATAGTGTTATGAGTATTACATTAATTTAAACTTATCTTTTTGAAATTCTTTTCTAAAAAAAACAGAACAACAAGAAAGTCGGAAAAAGGAAAAGAAAATTCAAGAGAGAATAATCTTTCTTCTTTTAAAAGCAACAAAAGAAGAGAAGATTTAAATCAAGGTAAATTGCGAATACATATGAATTAATTTTTTTATAATTTAACACAAGAATAGCCATACTTTCCTCACATGCAGAGCAGCTATAGCTGGTCATTTTGACCATTCTCACTGAAAATAGTTTCAAAATGTACAAGAATGAGATTTTTATTGAAACAAAATGAATGTAATACAGATATTAGATTGAATCTTATTTTCAATTTTCTTCCAAAGAAAAAAACCACCATTCTAGTTTTAAATAAAAGAAAGTAAAAACTCATTATATATATAAGTCACTATGATTTTAGACACTGTTTTGCTAAATAAAAATTAAATATTCCAGTGGCCGTCCTTGGAAGCAGTGGAAGTGCCGCTTCTCTTGTATTTTCTAAAATATAAATACATAGTTGCACGATTATTTTCATATTTTAATGTACAGTACTTTGAATTAATTAAAATTTATACTTTATTATAACCGCATTATGTATCTTATTACAAATTTTTGTACTACATGTGAAAAAAACGATAGTATTGCTATTGTATATTCGAATATCAATGGCAGAATAGAAGCGTTTTATTGTCGAATATGGGACAGTTTCCAAGCAGCCAGATTATACACATTTGCGCATGTGCTTTACAGAGCATTAACCTCATGCGATTTAGCTGGTGGATGCTACACACCAAAATATCGTATAACGCTCCCAATGATTCTACTGTTTCTGGGCTGTATGCTAGATTTGGCCGCCCTTGCCCCATTATGTAATCGCGAGTAGATTTATAACTTAACCCAACCAATAGCAGTTTACTGGTATGTTTTTATGATAGTTGACAGGAGTTTAAAAAAATCCATTAAAATATTTGATATTTTTATTCTACTCTCCTATCTTGTATTACTAAATTGCAATATCACTAATTTAACATTGAAATCTGTATGTCCCATCTATAAGGGAATGCAGAAAAAAGGTGCACAATTCTTGTACAATTTAAAAAATTAACTGTTACTTTGGCAGCATCATTTACAATTAAATTTAATGAAAGATGCACAAGGTACAAAAAAAGCTCTAGAATTTATTTTCCTTAAATTTATGATTTATATATCCATTGTCATAAAAATTTGTCTTTCTACTTCTTTCCCAAAACTACAAATATTCAAGTACAAAGTAACTGGTTTCGACTTATTTCTACTTAAGAAGTAGTTAAATAATTAAGAGATTAGGGAATTAGGGACATAAATAAAACCCTGCTGAAAGAGTCGGAATTTTACTTAAAAGCTTAACCGAACTAATCTCTAGCCAAGTATGGTGGGGACTGATTTCTTCATAATATTAGATATAATAAAGACAAATTTTTCCAATTCAATGAGAGTGACCGAAAAGTTGTAAATTTTGGAAATTTCCATGGACAACACCTGGTCCTAAAACGAATTAGTTAGAAAACAACGGACAATCTATTAAGTTATTTAGATTTTTACAGCTGTGGTGAGAAACCTTTAAAATTTACAACAACCCTGTCGCTAGATTTTATATTTTACTAATGAGTATTTTAAAAGAAAAATTAGTACAAACAGAATATCAATTCATAGTGATCAAAACATTATATGATGTGACAATTAAGTTATAAGCATTCAAATTCACACATTTCCACTGTGGAGGCAACTGTTTTTGTTGCAGTGAGAAAATCAACTGAAAAGAGTGCTGCATATTTAGTCTGTAATCAATGAGACCACTGTGCGGTGCTTAGTTCAACAACAACTTGATTGTTTAGTAAAAATGTTTTGTCATAGATAACACAGAATTGTATTTGATTCACTTAGGGATTTCTGCTTTACCAAAGCAGCTTTATCGTTTAAAATCACATCTATTATGATATGTGGTATTGCATTAATTTAATAGTACAGTATATACAGTGCTTTGCACACATTTACCCGTATTGTTTCCTTTTTATATGAAATTGTTTGTTATAATGTTTACAATTAATTAAAATCTTTGCTTTTTTTCATAATTTCAGAATCCAACCTTCATCCATCATGGGAAGCAAAGAAAAAACAAAAGACCAAAATTCTGCCTTTTCAGGGTAAAAAGATTAAATTTGATGTGGACGATTAATTTATTTTTCTAATATAACTCATTTTATTATATGTACATTTTTAAATAAATTTGTTGTCAAATAAATGTTTATTAATCTTGATTGTACTATTGCGAGGTTGTACAAAAGTATTAAATTCCCCTGATAAACTGCTCAATCACATATACAGTTGACCCTCCTATAATGCTGTTGATTATTCCATTTTATATGAATTCCATGTTGTATGAGTCACTTAGATTTTACAAATACATGAGCCATTCATAGCCTGACACATGTATTTGTAAAATCTGAGTGACTCATATAATTGAGGAATTCATATAAAACGGAACTATCAACAGTGTTATAGGGGGGTTGACTTTATAACCATTAACTAAATTTTTATATCATTATTTGTTTTTCTTTTATGTTCATATTGTGGAAAGATTTAATTAATTCTAAAGTTATTAGGTTTTATAAGAAAAATGTTACTGTTAAATGAAAATTTATCTAAGACATAAAATAATACTTACATTTTAACATTCCTCTTCAATATCCAGTTGCTGAACTTGAACCAAAATTAAAACATAAGATACAAGAGTTGTGAAAACCTGTAAAAATTCACAAATATTTTATTAATTATTTACAATATTCACTACTGTAACTTTTTAAAATCATATGTTTGAGAAATTATTTAATTATCATGGATCAGATGGAAAGATAAATTATATTCAATGAGCAATTATTGTGATGTTGTCACAATGCTCTCAATTTTAGTAGTCTTGCCCCTATATACCATACTTTTCCTGTTAACAATAGAGTCATCCCAGTCATTTATTTAACTTCATTCAGGAGAAAATTTTTGAATTGAAATAAAGTGACTTCCGATTCAAACCATAAGTTCATATGTAGTTAATTGAGGCCTCCTGCTCCTAAGCTTTCTATTTCTGGTCTTGACTTTCATCTATCTAACTCCATTCTCGATATTAAGGAAGGACAGAAAGCCAACACCAATAGGAATTTATAGGTTACAATTTTTGCTCACTGGGCTTCAATTTTCAAAGTGAATTAATAGCAAACAAAAAAAGAATCTTGTGTGCATACTTCTTAACAATTGGTGTGAAATTAGCAAACATAATAAATTATCATATACAACAAGCCGTTATTGTGACATCGTCCCAATGCTCGGCTGCAATTTTTAATCATATTTTTAGTTTATTTCATTTAAAATATATGCTTTTCACCTCAAATTAGTAGTGGCTTACCCCTGTACATCATACTTTTCCTGTAACAATAGAGTTGTGCCAGTCATCTATCTAACACACAGCAAATTTTTTATTGAAATAATGCAACATTTCTGGTTTGCATCGGCAGTTCATATTGTTAATCATTCTCCTGTCCCTAAAGTTTCCATATCTGGTCTCAGCTTTCATCTTACTCTGTTCTCGAGATTAAGGAAAGACAGACAGACAACAGTGAGAATTTATAGGTCTACAATTTTTTCAAATTGCAGCCCAATTAAAAGTAATTTCACTTAGACAAACATCCTGCTAAAAGATTATAAATTTCTCATATCCAGGATAATTTTACTACTATTTATTCTTAAAAACTGAAATTCTTCAAGACTTGAGACATGTTTAGTTGTTTGTTTATTTTATCAATATTTTAACTTTAAAAAAATTAAAATTTTTCAAAGAACAAATTATTTGTTACATTGAGATAAAAAAATTTTATTGTGAAAACTAAAGTCCAATAATAAAAATAAATCTTGACTTTAAAATTTTTGAAATAATCAATTTCAGATATACAGGGTCTTCCAAAATGAATGCTATCATTCTAAATTACTGTAATTATATCAGCTATTACCTAAGAAATATATAATGTACACCAATTGATAGTGTAACTGTCAAGTTTCATTTCCCATCTGCATTCAAATGTCTTGTTGTCTACAGCTTCTAGAAACTCTCATAAAAAACGAAAACAGAGACTCAACAACAGAGAATGCATTTTGTTTTGCCAAGTCGAAAACATATCCAAGAAAGTTGAAATCATTCATCATCCTGCAATACAAGTAATGTACGGAAGCCATAGAATTGTTGCCACCATGGGAGGAGTGACAGCAGATATGCTGTATCAAACATAGGAAGAATCTGATTATTGGTTGGATATGCACTGTGTGATGTGGTATGCACACATTGAGAAACTATAATGTGTGACATTAAAACACTGGAAAACTGTCAAGTTCTCCAATGTATGTTATAATATTTTCAGATAATAATTTCAATAATTTAAAATTTTACATATTTTTGGAAGACCCTATATTTAGTATATTTGATTCCTTAGAATTCAGATTAATTATTGTGTTGAAAATTTTTATAATATAAATTAATTTTTTGTTTGCCACAAAACATCACACACTGTAATATACTAAATTTGGAGTGCTATTTTGTATTTACTTCAATATTTCTATCACATATATTAAGAATATAGATCCAAAACAAAAGGTTAAATTTATTTAAATGCAACAAAATTTTCATTTACCTTTAGAATACCATTTCTGGTCAGAATAAAGAAATCCATGCAAGATATTCCAACTTTATTAACCATTAGACCCTTCATGACAGTATGCATCTGCAAATTTTGATATTTAAATGTATTTTAACTTTAAAAAAATCTCTTACATTTATTGTTAAATTTAATTTATAGATTTAATTATTTGGCTTATGTAATCTAATCATAATTAACATCAAAGTTTTCTCCATCCTTCATCCATTGGGATTTGAATCCTCATTGCAGTGGTATCTCATAAATTTGATTAATAAAAACTAGCATTTGAAAAATACTTTTTAAAAATTATCTATGTATATAATTAAGATAGGATCATTATTTAATCTAATTTTTCCATTTTAGTTGGAAAATATAATTAATTTTTTATGATTCCAATCATACCAAATTAAACTTCCATAACTACTATATATGCTTTAAAGCTGTTGTACTTTTATTATTTAAGTATAACCAGGAATTTAAATTTACAGAATGATAAAAAAACAGTAAATTCTTTAAGTGTGTTAAAATCTGAAGAATAAACTTTCAATCTAAGTAAAATTTGTAATGTGTTTGGAGCATTTACCTTTATCTGTTCTTTTGGAGAAATTTTACCATATATGATAAGTCTGTAAATTGAAGATTGGGGCTTATAAGCCTGAAAAGTAAAAAAGAAAATTGTATATTTTACTTGAAAAATATTAAATATTTATGATTTTAAATGTTTCTAAATTCTAACCGCTTGCGCTACATCGGCGGCTGTCAAAGAGCTACAGCTTATAACTGCAGAGAAAAAGATAATTAAGCAGAGCAATATAATTCTCAGCCCATGTAAGCCTTTCAGAAACAAGTAAAGATAATAAATTAAACAAGAAATTAACAAGAAAGTAATGTACATGACGAATACAAAGCGACTGAATATTTTATTAATGAGCTGAACCATTTGACAGAGACACTGATATTGACGAATGTTATCTTGTAATAATAAAATACAAACGGAACGTCCGGATTTTCTTAAGTGTTCGATATTTTCAGAAACTGCCAAGAAACCTTCCACCAAACCCCTACACAGAAGAGTAAAATATGCAACCGAGTAACCACAAATTCCTAATGAAAACAAACTTAGGATAGTGATAAGAAACACAGCAAGGATGTCGGCATCATTAAACATGGCATGTTTAATCCTGTAATATGTGTTCAAAAATGGTAACAAGCATACCAAAATTGCATACATATAACCCATACACAGCAAAATGCTACATTGATGTTGATATATTTTAATTTTGATAGCTTCTTCGATGGCTTTTAGCTCTCTCGAGTGCCAAATTTGATTGAATTTTTCCATAGACTTACCATTGCAAGGCCAATAAGTCAATACCCACGAACAAAAGAAATACAGAACCGATAATATGATGCGGCATACTACAATATATCCTCTCCATACTCGACTCCAATCTCCGATTAAAAAAATGGTCCATATGCCAAAAATTAGGTCTATGATGGATAAGAAGAAAAAAACCCAAAATATAAGGATTAAACTCTTACGATAATATACGATAAATGATTTTCGAGTTTTGTCTGAATGGTAATAAATTCCAAATATCTCTAGTGTAGAAACTGTCGGTTGCAATATATTATCCATTGAAGATCCTCATTTGTTGTGCATGCGAAAATTACACTCCAGCATCGTTTTTGATGATATGATTTGATCGTTAAATTTAATAAGTGCATTTGCTTCGTTAATAATATAAAAAATCGATACGTTTCCATGGAAATATGGCAATTTTCTACATCGTGCTTAATTTTATTTGAAATTCTTTCTATGGTCTATCTGAATTTTTAATGCATCAATCAGAAATTATTAGTTGATTTAATTTAAGAATAATCGTAACGTTCTTAATAAGGTCCCGATGAATTCGAGTAATTTGAGAATCATTAAAAGTTTTCTTATAATTTAAGAATGGTTATGGATCAAATTAGATTGTCACATACAGGGATACCGCCAGGCATGGGCAAGGGAAGACCTTCGACCCTTCGGTTTTTAGTAGTTTATATTAAACACACTTTAATCGCGATCTAGGAGTTTGATCGGTAATACTGAATCTTTGCCCTTTAAAACATTCCGGCGGCTCCTGGTGGTATACAGTGTGTATGTATGAAATGATCGATCATTAAAAGGAGCAGCGCATTCGATCGATCTGAATATACCTTATGTAAACTATAGTATTAATTAGTGAAGCAATTTTATAAAATCAAAATGGAATGAATTCTAATCAAAGAAAAAAATTACATAGATATTGGTTAAAAGCGGGCATCATTCAACACTGTTTTCACTTATATCATATTAATTAATTTTAATTAATAATTATTATTGTAATGCCAGGCACTCGCACGTAGTAGGTCATATGGTGCCTAGCTCTTTCCATTACGGGTCAGGCCCGAAATGAGAAGAGGCCAGATAGCGAGAGAGTTATGGCGTCAGACTAGCGCTCTGAAGGACATGGGATTAAATCCGGGCGAGCAACTCCCCAGGACAGTGTCTTACAAGTTAGATGTATCAGGTCCCGTCCATCGCTCCCATTATGGACCTGTTCGAATCCACGATGGGTATGGAAAAAGACCTTAAGTGTGCACAGGGCAGAAAGAGCAAAAAATTAAAGACCCGCAATGGGATATGATACTTCGGTCGGTACTACCCACAATAACACACCAATAAACTCAATTGTAATTAAATAGTTATATTTTTACTTTAATAATTTTTAGATTGTCCTCAAATTTATTGATCGATAATTGGATGATATAGTCTTTAATAAATTTAAAATAAAGCAACAATTTCAGTAGCGGATTCAGAAATCTGTAGAGGATCGAAGAAAGGAAACAATATACCTCACAAAATTTTATACTACCTGAAGTACCCGGTTTTACTCATAAAAATCCTCAGGTGGTGATGCAGCTGCTCACCCTCCTTAAATCCACCCGTTTCAATTGACTGTGAGGATAATTGAAATCGGCAGATTTTGCCGATAGTGCAAAATATTAATTATAATTTTCATAAATTCGATTGAATTGTTTTCTTCTAATACACTAGTGCATATTTAAATTAATTCATTGGCATAAGAAATAAAAAAAAGGGAATTTAGAATTTGAAGAGAAATGATCGAATTTCGGAAGTTTTTAAATACATTATTGAGATAACAATAAAAATAAACGAAACAATTAGTTAAAGTTTAATTTTTCAGTTGGGATATTTGACAAAACTAACATTACCATAGAAAATTTCAGTAAGAAATTTTAAAGTAACTTCATCTTTGTTCTCTTTTTAATGTTTTTAATTTTACTCTCTCTGATTTATAATCATTAATAAATTTTAAAAAACTTTCAAAAATTTATATTCTGGATCACACCTGCTATGACGATTCAAATGTACTCTCTTCCACAAATGGTGGAATTAGCTTTGAGCACGCCGATAATCGGAGTGGTCAATTTTGGAATATTAAGAACCATATTGCATATATTGATTAAAGAAATGGGCCTCGAAAATATTCGCTCAAAGCTTAACGTTACAGATATGAAACCTCAAAAAATAGAAATGCCTGTGTCTCCTCGACATCCATCATTCATTGCCCAATCGGTGGAAGATGAGTTTAAAAAATTAGAATTGGACGATGAAGTTCCTAATGCAGAAAATATTTCAGGCAGTAGCCCATCAATTCAGGAAAAGTTCGAAGCAGAAGAAGGTTATTCGAAATTATCAAAAGACCATAATCCAAGCTTCGAGGAGGAGGAGGAGGTATTCGATGAGGTTATAAACGAGTTTGCAGAGGAAGAAGATGAATTACTAATTTCCAAAGAAAATTCCATGAGAAGTGTAGCTTCTAATGAATCGTCTTTTAAAGGACCATCAGCATTTCAAGAAGACATGACAGAGTTTTGGAAAATGACTGCTATCAACAGCAGAGTAACTGCTTTAGAAGGAGGATTAGAAAAGGTTTTAATCACAATCATTATTAAATATAATTGGATGAAATTGTCTTAATATATTTAATGTTTCTTTAAATAGATTGTTGATATTATCGATGAACAAGCCAGGGACCTCGAACATTTCAGAAGAGACACAGAGAGAAGAAGAACAAAAGATGTAACTTTTATTACGTTAAAATTTTATAATTAAGCAGTGGCGAAACGGTTTAACAGGCTTTTGAGGCTAAGTCCATCCTTCTTAACATCCTTCTTAAGAAGGATGGACTTAGCCAGATATATAACTTTGCGTACCAGTAAGCTTTGGAAATCATGAATTGGATGACCTGAGGCCTCTCTGGAAGATGGATCAGAATCCGGTTGGAACTTCAGAAACTTTCAACTTACTGATACGCAAAGTTATATATCTGTGATTTTATTTAACTTTATACCAGAGCTGCGAATTTCCGTTATCCAAAATGGATTGGATGAAATAATTGATAAAATAAAGCAAAGCAACAATCGGGCTATCTGCCAAGGGGACACCTCTCCAGAGGACTTTCTACGGGAAACTGGCCCTTATTAGGTGTTAGATACGTGAAGAAAACTTCACGTGGCCAGCTGTTGGCCAGAGTCGAACCCGCGACCAATTACCAGTATTCAATGCTTTTAACCTCTCGGCCACTGGTGGGTCTTATCCAAAATGTCAAACCGATGAAAAAAATTCAGTCAGATTGTGTCAACTAGTGTCTTTTCGTTTCCCCCTTTATTTATTTATTTGTTATTAAAACAGTTTATTTTTATTTTAAATAGAGTTGTTATATGAAGGATTTACAGATAAATCTAGAAGAACTTAAGGAGAAAACAGTAAGAATTTTTGTTTTTTATATATATACAGTAGATCATCGATTATCCGACCCCCGATTAAGAACCGTCTGTTAACTGTTAACTGACCGCATTCTAGTTGGCAAATTCAAATGTCCGCTAGTGATGTGGCGCTACAATATTTGGCTATGTCTTGGCTACTTTAATATTAATTTTACATGTTTTAGCTGGCAACACTGGCTCGACAATGAAAGAGAGCCAGTATTTAAACGAGGCTTAATTTTCTAATTTTTAACGATACAATAGTGACGATTATTATTTTTAAAAAATTTTTTGTTAGGCTTAACATTGATGAAAATTCAACACGAAGTAGGTTAATAGCGATATACTAATATACTAATTACATGGGATATAATAATATACTACACTAATAATGGATTTTTTCATACTTTTCGGTTATCCGACTTTTCAATTATCCGACCAACCCCAGTCCCCAATTGAGTCGGATAATCGATGCTCTAGTGTATATACATAACATACCTTTTTATGTTTACAATATGTTTAAGAAATTTATATCATATGAATTTATTTTACATTGTGTGCACCTAGGTGCCAAGTAGTTAAGCAAGCAAGCTGCTTATCTGCTTGGTACCTAAATGCACCCAATGTCACATAAAAACTTTACAATTCTACAGAAAAGTCTGAAGATAATTTCTGTAGATGTCAAAAAAAGTATAAAATACAACACTTTTCAATAAGATTTAACTAATTTCTAGAATAATATCATACGCAAAATAGAGGCCTGTGTTTCCGAAGACGTTTTACAAAGGATTATAGAGGATCACGAGAAATACATCACAATTACGAACACTCAATTAGAAGAATTCGAGGAGCAATTATTACAATTCAGTGAGAAGGTAACTTATCACTTTTTAGGCATATTAAATGAAATCAAATTGTAATTTTAATTAAATTCGTCGGAGTGTTCTTTATATATGAGCAATCGATTTTATTATATTTGCAAACGATTGACTGTAAACAAATTTTTGCCACAGGTCGAAGGCGATTTCAAAATGCTCGAGATCGTAGATGATATTAATGACATCAGAGAGATTTTAAAGGTTCGAAATATTTTATTTATTAATGCTTTTATCAGTAAGATCTGGGTGCCAGTTAACAATTCCGTGAGCGGCAACGCAAACGTTTTGAGAATATCACGTGGTATCAACTTTTGAGTGGGACAATTCTCTGAACCAGTTCATGTCACGTGACACTTTAGTAGAAAAATATTTCAAAACTAAACGGAAACAAAAAGTGCGCGTTCATCTCAAATAGTCACGTGTGTAGCCACTTTTATACTTTATTTACCTGTCTTAGTGAAAAACTATTCACTAGATTTTTCTATTTCAGAATTCCTTTGATTAATTATTTATCATGAGCAGTGTTTCACAGTAATGAGCACAGGCGTCCGCAGAAAGTTTTATGGGGATGGGAAAAAATTTGAAAACAAATAATTACATCAGTAAATTTTTATTTAATTATTAAAAATTTTGGAGGAGTTTTCAGGTTTTTCACAAGCAGATTATAGAATACAGTATTGCATCAATACGAAAAGATAGACAAAGCGTCCCTGGTCGAGAGTGTAAGATTACATGTCTCTAGTAGTGTGTTACCCTAGAGGCAAAAAGGGCAGTTACCTGGGCTTTCATTGACACGGTCTCAAACCAATCTTTTATAAGAAAATATTTCCCCCAAATAAAAATGTCTGAAGTCAACACTATACACGAAGCCTACTAATTCAAATTCGCCTGGGCCTCGTAAAGCTATAATGCGGCTAGTGTTACCACCCGTCCGGTTTTCACCCGGACAGTCCGGGAATTGACTCACTTTTCGAGTAAACTAATAATTTTGTCCGGGAATTTCGTATAAATTGTGAAATTATGATGAAACAAAGTTCTTGCAAATATTTTTACAAATTCACACTATTTTAACAGCGAAAGAACTGCAAGTATGCCATGTTAGTCTGTTTACACCGACGTGTGGAGCGCAACCTGTTGACCTTTTTCTTTTGGAATGTAGGATCGTACACATCTCCAATATCCAATAGAGCTAAGTCTAAGTCATCTGTACCTGTTGTTTCTTAATTTAGGTTACATAGGTTACTTACGCAAGTCCCTAGTCCCTAATTGTAACTGATTTAGAACCGACATGCACGTTAGTCTTCACATTGTAAAATGACATTGCGCATACGTCAGGAACTTCTGTTCGAACAAACCTGACCTGCCGTCCGGGTCAGCGATTTTGAAAAGGTGGCAACACTAAATGCGGCACTGTATATTTCAATGCATTCTATAATTTGTGGAATTTTCTGCACGATCCCAGGGGAGGACAAGTACCCCATTTGCTCCCTCTGGGGATACCCGAATAATGATCTTTTCATCAATTTACATATTAACATTTCTGTATAGTTCGACATTTTGTACAAAACGGACTTTAAATTTATGTTCATGTGGCCACTTCCGCTCTTTTCAATTGTATGCAACAACGTTATAGCTTGAGTACGTCTTGAGCTACCGATCTTGATCTTTGAAGTACCGGTACATTGCATCAAGCTTGTTGAAATGTCCTTCAAAGGTTAACGGAGCAACTATTTTCTATTTATTCAGTGCTGCAATCATACTAATATGATTAAAACTATTGTTTCTCGATTAGACAACGCGTCGTTAAATAAAACTTGAGTGCGATCGCGACGTCACTATCATTCTTTCTTTCTCCTTTCGATAACGGAAAATATAGATTCCATTTTCTATTCCCTTGACAGCCAGTGGCGTACCGTGGGTGTCAGCCGCCCGGGGCGGAGGAAAATTTCGGCCCCCCCTTATTTAGGTATTTCAATTTATAAGACCAAAATTCAGTTTTGTCACAGAACAAGCAATGAAAAATTCGGTGGTAGTGCAGCGACCTGTTTAAAATAGTTCTATTGGATATTAATGGTGTATATGAACGCGAATGAATCGTACAAGCGAAATAAAAAAAAGATCAACAGGTTTCGCATGAATTCCTCGGATGAAAAAGTTACTAGTTCACCCGGCGAGCCGATTCACTACACGATACTATCGATACTTCGCCGGACGATAGCACTATCGTAGGCGCGATGCAAGTATAGATTAGGATGTTTCAAATTTTTACAAGATATTATTATTTATTGTGCAATTTTGCCGCCCCCTAAAAAGTGTCGCCCGGGGCGGGCCGTTCCTGCCGCCCCCACTACAGTACGCCACTGTTGACGGCTTTTCTGCGTTATTTTTCCGCAAGTTGAAACTTTTTAAAAATTGAATTCCTTTCGAGAGAAAATATGGAATTTTTAAGCATTCAGACAAAAATTAAGTGCTCTTAAAGACTTTGGAATATAAGTTAATTAAGTTATTAAGGTTCTTTAAAACGATTTTTAAAATTATTATTTAAATGAAACTTCGTAAATTATATTGTTTTATTTTTGTATATTGTGATTTGATTGATCGATCGATTGTTTTAAACAATTTTTCTCACTCCAGTAGATATCCTATGAACAAAAAGAGTAAATACCTGGGGCTCCCACTAGCAGAGGGCCCCAAACCAATATTTTATAAGAAAATATTTTTCCCAAAAAAATCCCTTGAAGTCTAAATGTCTTAAGTCAACATCGTACATGGAGCTCCTAATTCAAATTTGCCTAGACCGCACGAAGCTATAATGCGCCACTGTCTAACTGGCAGAACATATGCAGAGACCGATTTCGGGGGATTCGCGGGGTGCAGCCGCACACACATTCTTGGTTTTTTCCTGTAAAGCCTGGTATCTCAGGCAGTAAAAAATTTTGTATAGCACATTATTTCCTTTTGGCATCCCTTCTAAATAAATCTGGATCCACTATTGAAAATATGTTATGAGATATGCACAATTTTCAAACTTTTAATTCCCTGCAACTTCTTCCAATAAAACATTGTCTTTTTGAGTGAAAGACAATCTAAGACTTTGACTATTTTTAAAGAAATGAAGTATCAATAAATATAAGGTCTACTCTAAATAGAATAAACTAAGAAAAGCTGATTGAACATGATGATAAACTGAACAGATAACCAATCAAAACAGAGTAAGATACTAAAATTCATACAGTAAAAAATTAACAAAAATTGTACGACATGCCGAATGAATTCTGACATACACTTTGGGCATGCATGCCGTAGATTTGTCATCCTTACTCTTTGATACAATATATTTCATAAGCAGAGCCGTAACTAACCATTCCTGTGTCCTGTGCAAGAATTTGCATTTAGGCCCCTTAATTTATTTGGTTTTGGGAAAATAATAAAACAAATGCAATAGGTTTTTAATAAGATTTATTTTAATTGAATTTTTCTGGCTTTCATTTCAGCAAATTCATTAATTACACCTTCATAATTAATATTTTTAACGATATTGTATTCTATTGAAATAATAGAAATATTGGATAATCGTTCTTGTTCGCTAGTTGATCTTAAATAATTTTTTATTAAGTTTAACTTGCTAAAACTTCTCTCGCACGAAGCAATAGAAATGGGAAGAGTTAGAAATATTCAAGAGCGACATTGATATTTGGGTAAGACTCAATTAAACCAAAATCACGAAGAGCCTGTAGAATATTAAGCGGAGATGCAGTTTCTATATTTTGTATAAGAGTCGTTACTTCAAAATTAAAATTTTCGATTTCACTTCTGAATTCGTACTTTTTTAAATCTTTGCTATATTTAATAGCGAGATCTGCAGCCGATTTTTTTTTTAAATCAGCAACACTCGTGTATTGTAAAGACGAGCCACAGAGAAAGCAAAAATCGTCACAGATAGTTTTCATTTTTTCATAACGCCAATCTATTTGACACAATAGTGTGTCAAGAACACTGTAAATTCGTATTTTAAATAATTTTTTGGGTGTCAAGTTACTTCTTTCATTTGGTGTTTTATCTATTTCCATTATCTTAATTTTTTTTTTTTTTTTCGTTTATTAAGAAATCCCTTTTCTATACTTTTTGGTTTGTTTTAAGAATATGATCAATAATAGCATCTGTTAATATTGTTGGCCATAAAGCTATATCATTTATTACTTCCATGCATCTATATATATCGAAGCGTTTTTCTGGACTATTTCTATCTTCTGCGTTTTCGCAATCCCTTTTTTCAGTAGCATTTTAAAGACTGCGGGAGCCCCTTCGGGGCACTACGCGCCCGCATAGTTCGCTTACCGCTTAATCAGTCGTTCAGGTATACACCACATATGCGTACCACTATACAGTGGTACCTCAGGATACGAAATTAATCCGTTCCGAAACTGAGATCGTATCATGAAAATGTCGTAAGGTGAATCATTTTTTCCCCATACGATTACATGTAAAACCAAATAATTCGTTCCAACATGAAAAACACACTCAAATTAAAGCTAAGTAGTACATTGAAAAAAAATCACTTTAGTAAGGAAAACACTGAAAAATGCATTTTGTAGTTGTAAATGTATAAATAACTATAATAGAATAATAATTGATTTTAAAAAATGTAGTTTTATTTGCACTTTACCTCTAAGGATAGACATCGGTGGAGGTGTAAACTGGTGGAGGAGGAGAGGGAGAAGGGAAATGATACTAAAACTTAACTTACATAACATAATGTAACAATAACTTAAAAATAACTTAAGACCCTGTACACACTAGGCGTTTTTCAACGCGCGTTAAACGCGCGTTTAAAAGAACCAAGAGTTCTATGTAGCCGTACACACTCAAAAGCCAAGCGCGCGTTTTGCGAGCGCTTATAGATTTTTGTTAAAACGCGCGTTTTGCGAGCGCTTTACGGGCGCTTTGAGATATATGTGCTGCCATGTTACCGTACATGCGATCGCGCGTTTTGCGGGCGTCAGCCGAGCGCTTTGAGATATATGTGCTGAAATGGAGAACGATCATTTCGATACTGATCTATTTATTGATGAAATCTAAAAGAGACCAACCATCGTCAAAGGATTTTATAGATATTTTAAAAGAATTAAAAAACTTGAATTTATTTTGTCTTAGTTTTGGATACAACGTCGCAAACATTTCATGCGTCAGTCTATCTCGTAATATTGGGTGCACCCAAAATTCTCTTTGCCTCCGCCGTCGTCTTTTATAGCGACGATAGAGGAGCCACACACAAGCAATCACTTCCACATCCATTTCCAAACCGAGCCAGTGCGCATGCTCCGCTAAACGCTCGTTGAAAAACGCCTAGTGTGTACAGGGCCTAACACTAATTTTTTAACTTTTCTGTTATATATATATATTTTTTAATACTTTATTCAATGCGTTTTACCGTATTTCCTTCACTTCCACCAGCACTTTAACGCCGCCAAATGGCCGAACGGTCAAGATGGTAGCCTACCTCTCTGGGGGACTCGGGCTCGAATCTGAACGGGCCGAAAAATCCCCAGGAATTTTTCGGGGGTTGGTCCGTTCGGATATGTCGGGCCTCATCCCTCACTACCCGGCAGCCCCATTGTGGGCCTGGCCGAACCCATAATATGCTTGCAAAAAGAGACCCCCTAGTGCCCACAGGGCGAAAGAGTACAAAAAAAAACCCAGCACTTTCACTTCACTGGATAGAGGTCGCTCGGTAAAATATCTATCAAAAGAGTTCTGGCTTTGCCTAGTTTCTAAAATGGTTTAGGCCAGGGGTCGCCAAACTTTTTTAACCGTCGACCCCCAATCACTTTCCAAAGCCTCACATTGACCCCCACCGTAAAGTTTTATTACAAGTGTATGAGCGAAAAAAAAAACGTTGTGGTTTGTGGTCTCTGTCTAAACAAAAAAAAAATTGTGACCCCTTAGCCGCATCGACCCCCCCAATGATGTTGCATCGACCCCTGGGGGTCCATATCGACCACTTTGGCGACCCCTGATTTAGGCAAATGTCATTACTCCGAGCAGCAATACGGCCAGTGTGAACCTTTTCAGAATGTTTCTTTTCAATAAAATCAGTCACTTTCTGATAATACCTCAAGATTTCCTTTATCGAGCGACGAAGCAAACACGCAGACTGAGACTAATGAACAGAAGTGAATAAAAAATGGCGCTGCGAACTAATGTAACGTCGTATGGTGAGTTTTTGTTCGTACCATGAAGAAAAATTATGTTCAAAATTTATGTCGTACTCTGAAAATTTCATATGCTGGGGCGTTCGTATCCTGAGGTACCACTGTAAAGCAAAAAATGATGTCAGAATCTCTGCACGCCTTTTACAACCTCGAGACTAAGATTTTATTCGGGAGTTACCGTTTTCAATTTAGTAATTTTTAAAGAAATCCTCGGGCATATTTATTTTTGTTACAAAATGTTACCTTTACAGATTTCTAGCTCTGCACACTGTAGAAAAATCTAGAAATACAGTTTTGTATATCGTAATATTATTAGTAATTGCCAGAGAGCTCTATAAAGTAGAGAAAAATCTGTAAATTTGAAAACTATAAACAAATTTATATTTCTCAAACAATAAATTAAAAAATCTCAAAAGTCGCTACTTTTGGCTGATTTGTCTGAGGTCTCCGCTCCGCTACCTCACTATGTCCCTCTAAAAGTCGCCACAGTTGGGAACACTGGTGAGCAGACATCTAGAGTCTAAGTAAGGTGAAATGTAATCGCCAAACCGCGCTGTAGAAAGGCGGAAAAATTTTAAATTCAAAAATATAATTTCTTGTGAACAGCAGTTTGGGCCTCCCCTTCCAAGTGGGCCCTGTGCGAGTGCCTAGTTACGGCTCTGCCCATAAGTCTGGAACCAAAGGAGTTATGTTGGTTTTTGTTTACTCTTTTACAGGTTAAGCATGGCACTGAGTAAAGAGGAACAAATACAAATTATATTGATGGTGGAGATTTCAGAGTCAGCAAGGAGTTGCCTAAGAGTTTAAGAGACCGCTATGTGTGATCAGAGCCGTAACTTGCCATTCTTGTGCCCTGTGCAAGAATTTGCATTTAGGCCCCTTAATTTATTTGGTTTCAGGAAAATAATAAAACATAGATTTTTAATAAATAGATTTTTAATAAGATTTATTTTAATTGAATTTTTCTGGCTTTCATTTCAACAAATTCATTAATTACACCATCATAATTAATATTTTTAACGATATTGTATTCTATTGAAATAATAGAAATATTGGATAATCGTTCTTATCCGATAGTTGATCTTAAATATTTTTTTATTAAGTTTAATTAACTTGCTAAAACTTCTCTCGCACGAAGCAATAGAAACGGGAAGAGTTAGAAATATTTGAAGAACGACATTGATATTTGGGTAAGACTCGATTAAACCAAAATCATGAAGAGCCTGTAGAATATTAAGCGGGATGCAGTTTCTATATTTTGTATAACAGTCGTTACTTCAAAATTAAAACTTTCAATTTCACTTGTGAATTCGTACATTTTTAAATCTTTGCTATATTTAATAGCGAGATCTAGCCGAATTTTTTAAATCAGCAAACTCATGCATTGTAAAGACGAGCCACAGAGAANTAAAACTCTGCTGTGTATACAACATATATCATTACGTAAAGATTTCTGCTATTGAAGAGAAAATTCAAAAAATCATAAAAGTTGTGCAAGAATTGTGTGATAAGAGAGAAGAAATATCACAAGATACATTGTCTGTAAAAGAAAATATTGCAGAAAAATTGAATATACATATATTTGAATCTACGCAAAAACTGACCAAATACGAGGAAATGTCAAATGAAACAAATAAAAAGTTACAAGAGATAACTACTACTATTAATGGAATAACAAAACTGCAAGCTGATATGATAACAGAGGTAAATGAAGAACATATTTGTTAAGGAGGCTCCTCAAACATAAATCTACTTCAAATTGATTTTTCTTAGAGCAAAATCTTCTCTGAAAACTCTAGTACAGGGTTGTCCAACTTTTTTTCCTAATGGGCCAAATTATAAATATAGGTACAGTATATTCAATGGGTCAAAAAAAGGTACTTTATATAAATATGTGCTTTTAAAAAGTTCAAAATGTGAATATCAAATTTTAATAAAATATGTATAACAACACAAAATACTGTTTTATTGACAGTAAAAAAATTATACTCACACAAAATATAAATAAATTCAATGCGATTTTTGATATTGCCTTCCTTGCATTGTCAATATCTATTTTTTGGTACTAGTCTTAATTCTAAGAATGCTAGTTAAATGAGAATTACTCAACCTATTTCTGTTCAAATTACTCAATCTATTTCGGTTTTGATGTTTTACATGCATGAAAAGAACTGTTCACAACAGTATGTTATGTATGTGGGGTAGTATAGTTTTCTAGCAACAATTACATCATTACGACTTCAAAGTGTATCCAGTGAAACAAGAATAATTTTTACAATGTACTTTACCAAAATAAATGAAAATGTACATAAAAAGTTTAGGGTGCAGTGGGTCACATAAAAATATTAAGTGGGCCACAGTGAGGTCCACGGGCAACTGGTTGGACATCCCTGCTCTAGCACCATATGCCAATCATTGGAGGTTAATATATGTTGATTCCTGATGAAGGTATATGCTCAAAAGTATAGAGTTTCTCTGGAAGTTTTTACTTTGAGGAAAACTGAATTAAATAAAAATATATCTGATATATCATTTATTTCAATGTTAAACATGTTTAATAATCTTATTACTTCACTGTGTTTAGGGAAAACAGAATCTTTTTGAAATTGGAGAACAACTAAAAGAAATCTTTCAAGAATTGAAAAAATTTTCAGTTATAGAAGATGATGTCTTAACCACTCAGTCATCTGGATGTCTAAGTTTAGTTTATATAAAATTTATGTAAAAATTAATATAAATTATAAATTGGAACAATTAGGGTTTATGCTTTCAAATATAATTTTTTTTTTCTATGAAAAACTGGAGCTATACAATTACAATTAATGTTATAACTTTTATCAATAAGTATCAAAAAGAAACAATACTTTACTCTTATTAAAAAAAAAATATGAAATATATGCTACATAAATCAGTGAAAAATATTAACACTCAAATTTCTTTTATTGAAAATAAATTAAAAGATTTGTTTTATAGAGGTTAAAAATAATATCATGTTGATCAATCAAAAACTATTTGAATTCAGATAAAACAAACAAAAACACAGGTTAGATTAGGTAAGGTGTGTATATATATTATACACTGTGTACATACATACTGTACTGTACATGCAGAGCTGGCCTTACCATAGGGAGAACTGCTCCAGGCTCTAAGTCCTAGGGGGAGCCTCAGTGGTAAAGAAAATTAAAGGGTATAAATTAGGGGCAACCAAGGGGGGTGCCATAATAGGATCTTGCTCCATCCTAAAACTTTGCCTCGGGCCAGCACTGTGTACAGTACATGCATATTTGGAGCCAATGAAGAGGAGGGGAAGCCTGGGCTGAAGTTGTGGGGGCTGACATATATAGAGTCCAGCTCTGACCCCTATACATTAAAATTTTAATTTTAAACTTTAAAATGTCAATTTATGTAATTTCATTTTTAAAAAGAGGAAAAAAGATGGTAAACCAAGAGCATCATGAGGCAAAGGGATTGAGATGCCTGGAAAGCCTATCCCAAGACTCAATAAATCGCTCTCCATAGCATGTCATGGCTTGCTTGCATGCATAATACACACACACACACAGTCTAACAACCTATAGTTCTATAATACAGAAAATTTTATAGTACAGCATAAAAATTCTACATATTAGTCCTTGCTGTATCATACATGTTAGGTGAAACAAAATGAGTGATATATCAGATGGCACAACATAATCAATGTATCTATCTACCTGTTTTGTCTGTTCTCAAGCTCTGTGCGACTTGCTTCTTCAAGATCAATGACCAGAATAAAGTAACATTTCTTTGCCAGCAGAAATTCAATGGCAACCAATTTTTTAAAAGTTGTTGGCTAAAGCACTTTTATATTTAGAACACAAAAAAAAAACTATATACAAATGAGCAATATAATAAGGATTGATATAAGAGGGATACTGTACATTTAAGATTTATTCTTCATAGTATAATATTTTATTATCTGCATCCACTATCATGGAGAATTTGCAGCAATCTTTATATCACTAGCTTAAATTACTTTTTTTATATTATTACTATTATTAAAATAAATCATAGTAGAATTCTGCATAACAGATTTAAATTTATATGTTATATACTAATAATCATTAATCCTAAGTAAATTTAAGATTTAATAGGTAACAACTTAAAACATAATAATTAAAAAAAAAGTTTACTTATTTTTTAATTTAAAAGTTAATTTAATTAATTTTAGAAGAAGACCTTCAGACAGCTGATATACAGCAACATTTTGAATTGTCTGATATGCCGCAAGATATTAAAGGAAGGATTGAATTTGATTCTAGTCAGTTGAAGGTAAAGTTTATATTAATGGGATTATATTATTTAACTTTATTTTAATTTAAATGAATGAATGAATAAAATTACAAATATCAGAATCATTTTTCAAAATGACAATAAAATAATAATTAATTTTATTAATATTAAAACTCTGCTGTGTATACAACATATATCATTACGTAAAGATTTCTGCTATTGAAGAGAAAATTCAAAAAATCATAAAAGTTGTGCAAGAATTGTGTGATAAGAGAGAAGAAATATCACAAGATACATTGTCTGTAAAAGAAAATATTGCAGAAAAATTGAATATACATATATTTGAATCTACGCAAAAACTGACCAAATACGAGGAAATGTCAAATGAAACAAATAAAAAGTTACAAGAGATAACTACTACTATTAATGGAATAACAAAACTGCAAGCTGATATGATAACAGAGGTAAATGAAGAACATATTTGTTAAGGAGGCTCCTCAAACATAAATCTACTTCAAATTGATTTTTCTTAGAGCAAAATCTTCTCTGAAAACTCTAGTACAGGGTTGTCCAACTTTTTTTCCTAATGGGCCAAATTATAAATATAGGTACAGTATATTCAATGGGTCAAAAAAAGGTACTTTATATAAATATGTGCTTTTAAAAAGTTCAAAATGTGAATATCAAATTTTAATAAAATATGTATAACAACACAAAATACTGTTTTATTGACAGTAAAAAAATTATACTCACACAAAATATAAATAAATTCAATGCGATTTTTGATATTGCCTTCCTTGCATTGTCAATATCTATTTTTTGGTACTAGTCTTAATTCTAAGAATGCTAGTTAAATGAGAATTACTCAACCTATTTCTGTTCAAATTACTCAATCTATTTCGGTTTTGATGTTTTACATGCATGAAAAGAACTGTTCACAACAGTATGTTATGTATGTGGGGTAGTATAGTTTTCTAGCAACAATTACATCATTACGACTTCAAAGTGTATCCAGTGAAACAAGAATAATTTTTACAATGTACTTTACCAAAATAAATGAAAATGTACATAAAAAGTTTAGGGTGCAGTGGGTCACATAAAAATATTAAGTGGGCCACAGTGAGGTCCACGGGCAACTGGTTGGACATCCCTGCTCTAGCACCATATGCCAATCATTGGAGGTTAATATATGTTGATTCCTGATGAAGGTATATGCTCAAAAGTATAGAGTTTCTCTGGAAGTTTTTACTTTGAGGAAAACTGAATTAAATAAAAATATATCTGATATATCATTTATTTCAATGTTAAACATGTTTAATAATCTTATTACTTCACTGTGTTTAGGGAAAACAGAATCTTTTTGAAATTGGAGAACAACTAAAAGAAATCTTTCAAGAATTGAAAAAATTTTCAGTTATAGAGGTAATATCAAATATTGATATTCAAAAAATATAGATGTATTGTATATAAATAATCTAATATATAAAGGAGAAAGTAAGCAAGCTAGCTCTTCATGCATTTTGATACATTTTGAGCAAATAAAATGAAAATTTTCAGGGACCATCCTTTCATCCAGAAGGAAGTCTACTACTATTACTTTTGGTCAAATTAACTTTAATCCCCAAACCATAACAGGCTGTGAATTGAAGTTGATTCTATCCCTTTCTATCTGATTAGTGAGATAGTGGTATTTGAATAGGAAAATTACTTAATGCAAAGTTATCAGTGAGCACAAAATATGTTTTTAGAGATTTTTAAGAGTGTAGAGTTTAACTATTTAGTCCATTTGTTGCAAAATTTGTACGTTGGCTAATTACCATTTCTTATTCAGCTATGAATGGTATGTTAGAATTAACATTAGAAAAAATTTGAATGCCTTGAATGCCTCTCATTTACTAGTATAATAATTAAGTACAATCATTGTGTTAATAGGGTTACATATAATTTTATGGTATCATTATTACTTTATTATGCTTTAACAAATACAAAATATATTAAAAATTTATAAATTTTCTTGGTGCTCTATGTATAAATTTTATAGAAAACAACATATAAAAGTATATAAATTATTTTAGCTATTTATTTCAAATTTTGAAGTTAAATTTGTTAAAAATAAATGAATAGGTTCTTATAAATTTCAATTGTTAAATTATTTTATATCAGTCTAACTGATGCTGATGATAATCATTGTCACAATAATTGAATTATTATAGGATTTGTTTCTAAGATACAGGATAAAATAATTCACTACCTATAACTTTACATTTGTAGATATCATCATAAATTAAGTATGATAATTTTCTTCACATCTACTGTAGATATTAAGAAAACTTACTGTATAGTAAGATTATTATTATTTGCAACATATTTTGACATAATTACAATAGTTAATCCTATCCTACAAAGTCTTTATGAATAAAAATATAATCATTTCATATGAAACATCAGTAATACATATATAAAATTAGTTTTGTATCATTAAGGGATTTCATTATTCAATACTAAATTCACTATTTCAATGCTCCTATAATTATGGCTAGATGGACAATGCAGTAAAGATATCAGCTTGCCATTCTGAGAGAAATTGGTTTGAATCAAAGTCAAAACCTTAAATTTTTATGGGTAATTCACCCAGATCCTTTATATCAGATTTGGCTATCATCATCCAACTTTGTTTTAAACATGGCCAAGTCCATGATGGCTGAGAGAAAAGGGCTGTTTTGTGCTGAAAGATGGAAAAGAAGTTTTATATATATATTACATGCATACACTTTATTAACCAAATTACAGTGGTACAGTGCCTCAGGATACGAACGCCCCAGCATATGAAATTTTCAGGATATGACATGAAATTTGAACATAATTTCGCTCTATGGTATGAACAAAACCTCACCATACGACGTTACATTAGTTTGCAGCGCCCTTTTTTACTCACTTCTATTCATTGGTCTCAGTCCGCGTGTTTGCTTCATTGTGGAAGGATCTTGCTCGATAAAGGAAATCTTGAGGTATTATCAGAAAGTGACTGATTTTATTAAAGAGAAACATTCCAAAAAAGTTCACACTGACTGTATTGCTGCTCAGTTTAATGACATTTGCCTAAGTCATTTTAGAAACATTTTAAAAAGTAGGCAAAGCCAAACCTCTTTGGATAGATATTTTACCAAGAGACCTCTATCCAGTAAAAGTGTTGGTGGAGGTAAAGGAAAGACGGCAAAAAACAGTGAATAAAAAATTTTAAAAATATATATAAAACAGAAAAGTTAAAAAATTAGTGTTAAGTTATTTTTAAGTTATTATTACATTGTGTTATGTCAAGTTAAGTTTTAGTATCATTTCCCCTCTCCCTCTTCTCCACCACCAGTTTACACCTCCACCGTGGTCTATCCTTAAAGATAAAGTGCAAATAAAACTACAATTTTTTTTATCGGTTATTATTCTATTATGTTTATTTATACATTTACAACTACAAATGCATTTTTCAGTGTTTTCCTTACTAAAGTTATTTTTTTTTCAATGTACTACTTACCTTTAATATGAGTGTTTTTTTCCTGTTGGAACGAATTATTTGATTTTACATATAATCGTATGGGGAAAAATGATTCACCTTACGACATTTTCATGATACAATCTCAGTTTAGGAATGGATTAATTTCGTATCTTGAGGTATTACTGTAATATGCTTAATAAAAAATTAATGGGAATAGCTATGACAATATGTTTTTGCATCAAATACAGCAGACTGTAGTTTGTACAAGTGGGGGACAAAAGCCAGAAGACCTTTAAATCAGAAAAATCTATAGTTCACCACATAAAAATTACTTCAAAAGTTTGTTATCTTTCTTTAAAGGGATCAAACTTCTAAAGGAAAGCTGACAGACACCCAGCTCAAGAAAAGAGAACTCAGATAAATAACTTTGTCCAAGCAAAAGTTTGCATATTTACAAATGAGATGCAGAGAAATCTTCTCAGTAGAATTGCAAAGACTGAGAAGGAGAGTTTGTCAGCAATTCAAAAAATTTTACTCTATTGATGACAACACTGTTTCCAATGAGTATTGCTGTAACATGGTGACTGTTAATGAGAAAGCAATTTATATGTTGCCAGTGAAAGATGACAATTACAATTAAGGAGAACTCTTCATAGAAGGACCATCATCTTGTTCAGATTATAGTTACTTCAGCATAATGATTATTAAAATTAATTTATTCTCATTAAATATTTTTAGTTTGAAAAATTTGTTATTCAAGAATGTAAAGAAGAAGAAAAAAAAAAAGGAAGAGCAGATCTCAAGGAAGGGTAATCATTCCTCCTGGTTTCTCTCTATACCCTTGGTTCAGTGCTTTGATGACCAAGTGATTTATATGCACTATAGCAAGAGGATTGGCCCAAGAGAAGGGAAGCAAGTAGGGGTATGGAGGTTGGATTATGAGAGGAGCCAAGTGAGCACAGGTATGAAGGTGGGCTGCCCATAAACCACCCATATGAGGTTGAGTGAAGTAAGCAAAGCTAGGGAGTCAAGTGGGAAATGGTCCAAGGGGTTGGCTCTTTGTGGAGATTGAATTATTATGAAATTTTTGTTATGAATAGTCTATATTGGAAACAAGTGGATGAAACTAATGGAGAGTTAGGCCACTATAGACAGCTACAGGAACAAGTCCATATTTTATCATTCTTATTTTTCCTATTGTCTTCAATATTGTTATTCGATGTTAGGAACAACAGATGATTTAATTATCATTCAACACATTCATTATGGAATTAATCTGTGTATCATAGATATTACATCATCAATGACAGAAATATTTGTCTCAATCAGAAAAATATTTATAATTGTAAAGAAAAAAATATCAAATTTGATATTTTTGAGTGCCCTTCATCAATCTTTATCTTACAATATATATCATATTATATTTAAACAGTTTATTTATTTTAATACCAGTAATTATTATATCATTATAGTCATTTGATTTAAATATTTTCATTAATAAGTGGCAGTAGATGTAGGAACAATTGTTCTTGAAAAAACAAAGTTTATCTAGTAAACAAGGAGAATAAATGGATTTAAACTAAAATAACTTGGTAATAGCAGAAAAAGAACACAGAAAAATTATTTGCATGTTCAATAAAGTGAATAGAACAGAAAAGAAATCAAATCTTGTGTGTTTATAACTCCAAACAAAACATTTTACACAGTTTTCATCATATAAAAATAAAATAATATGATCCATTAAGTTTATTTTTGTTTTTGAAATCCAAACAATTTTTATACAAAACTTTCAAATTTTGGTAATCGTAACTTATAATTAATAATAGTATAATGTTATTGTAGTCAAACTACTTGTTAATTGATATGTATATTGATATGTATAGGACATACAATATCGTGTGGAAGATATACGAAACTGCAAAGTAGACAGATCTGAAATGCTTGATGGCTTAGATAGAAAAGCAGATAAATCCCAACTTGAAGAAAAACTTGATAAATCAACACATGTGGCTTCCTGTGAAGAAATAAATTTGCAATTTGTTGATGTAATTGCCAAAATAGCTGCTCAAGTAAGCTTAAAATTTATTATTATTAAAATAATATAAAGTAATAAAAAAGTATGAATGCTATACATTTTAATATTTCCACTTACACAATAAGAAATTCATATTTAGAAATAATAATGAAAATGTATATACATATAAACATTCCAAAGCTCAATATTTTAGTAATATGCCAAACAAAAGTGTATGAACATAAATTTTAAAAATTACTTTGTGGCATAGTAAACACTAGTACCGTAAGGTCTCTTTTTATGTGGATTATTTTTATGCGATTTTGAAGTTGTGTGGTTTGTATTTCATCCAAAAATTTCTTGGACAAACATACATATAGCTCCATTTGTTCCACTGACATATAACGTTTATGGATGTAAAGGACAGCTAGATCTACCTTAATCGCTTTAGTTTCTAGCAATTTTTGATATAAATGTAATTAAACATAAAAAATACTTAAAACTGAAAAAAAAACGAAAGAATTAAATTAATTAAATTTTAATTAACTCTTCACATCCAGATGTCAGTGATTTGTTTTTAGAGTGAGCTTTTGCAATTCGGGGATTCCCCTTGTACAGTTCGATCTAATGAAGTATGTACAGTACATGATAATTACCATCGACAAGTCGCTATTACATCATTCTGAGTTTCGCATTGAAAGGTATAAACTGTAATTGTTTTGAAATTAAATTTTATTTTAGCGGTGTTTTGTTCATTTTTATAATAAGTAGCGAGTTTAAATTTTGCTGATTTCAAGTTGCAGTAATAAGCAGCCTATTTCTTTTAATTTCTGCAAACTTTTTTATGCGGTTTTAAGTTAATTTTAACTCGTTGTTTTGGTTTTATGCGATTTTAGAAAATTTCGGAACGTATCCCTACTTTTTCAAGGCAAGTAAAGTCTTTTTTTATGCGAATTTTTTATATGCGCTTTTCTGTAGAACATATCCACCACATAAAACGAGACCTTACAGTATTGAGTTTTATTCCAAAGACACATGGCAAATTTTCATCAAAATCCTTTATTAGTTGAGTCGATATGATTTTTCAGAGTTATGAGGTAACATAAGCAGATGTTTTATCATCTAATTTTTGGTTTATAAAATTCCTTGAAAAACAATTATTATTCCAAAGCTGCAGATTTTAAATCTATGATAAAATATTTTAAACAAAGATTAATAAAAAAAAATTTTTTAATTCGTAAACTATATTTTTCTCAATTAATATGTCATCAACACTTAATTTTTTCACTCTATGAGCAGTAAGAAGGCTCTCATTATCTTTTTAATGCAAAAAACAAAATTATTTTCTTTACAAATCATTTCATATTGAAGTTATATATGCAAAATCTAATATATTATTCCTTCTTGATACTGATAGTTAATACATATACATCAGTGATGAGATTCAAATAATTTAACAGCTGGTTCACTGCAATAGTGACCATTGTAAGTATAAAAAAACAATATTTATAAATTTCTTTTAAGCTGTTAAAAAGTTGCCTTATAGATTAATAAATATATAATCTGTTTTGTTTACATCATCAATGCTAACATACTATTTCTATACTATCAAAATGCATGAATGGTATGCAATTATTACAATCTTTTAAACATGAGTACAGCAAGTTACATCAAGAAGACTAAGTGATCTGTTTCATGCATAGCATATTAACTCTGTTCTCATCAAGAAGACATTGTTTTACTTCTTTAGTTTATGATTCCAGTTTTTCAATAAACTTTTTGTTTTTGAAAAAAATAGTTTCTTTACAAAAATTTAGAGTTACAAATCATATTTTAATTGTTACATTAGCTATCCTTATCATCATCATATCAAAATCTCAAATTCTTGAATAGGGAATAATATTTCAAAAGAACTTACTATATCAAACATTACATGAATAAATGTCTAAAATTAATGAATTACGTTAAATTATCTTGCAGCATCTTTATTCTATGATGTTTATACTTCATATTTTCAAAATTATTTTGATAAAACAAATGTCAGAAATTAGCTTAAAAAACTTAATGTAAATGATATTGTTCAACTTTCCATTGAAAATCTGAATATCATCATCATAAATATATGCAAAAGCATGTAATTTAATAAATTTTATAAATACACAATTTTAAATTATTATATAATTTCATAATTTGTATATAACATGTTTAATTATATCACACCTTTTTGTCTTCCAAATATAAAAGCACTTCAGCTAATACTTTTTAAAAAATATGGATTTTTACTGGCAAAGAAATAAAATATTACCTTATTCCAGTATTAATCTTAAAATTACCATCGTATAAAGTACAACCTACAAAAAAGCGAGTCATTATGGAGTTAAAAATTAGAAAAAACAAGTGGCTAGACACATTGATTATTATTTGATATACTGTATTGCTGATTTGGTTTGTCTCCTTAAATGAGCGATACAACATGAGATTACTATATATTTTAAAAAATGTACCCAGATAAGATTTTTGACTACAAAACATAAGTCCAAAAAAAGAATCAAATTAGAATCAAGCTAATTAAAATAATTAATACAAGTATGTCTTTTTGTTATCTGTCAGTAACATTAATTATTATTCTAGACATTTTTAAGTAATCTGAAGACAGATTATTTATTAAATACCCAAATTTTAAATTATGCTAGTGTATTTGGAAATTGCATAATTATAAACAACAGATGTTAAGCTAATTAATATATAAAGGATTCAAATAACCACAGATACAATTCCTGCAAAAACTATATTTATTTTCTCATCAGCCCGCATGTGAAATCTTCCTCTTGTTGTATACCTTGTTGAACTTTACATTTGCTAGCATATATTAATTGCTTTTTTGGATTGTAGATATGTTCTGCAATAAAGTGTTTGTTTAGAATTGGTCCCATATCTTACATATATATGCACCCAAATTTTTTTCATTTAAATTTAAGATTGTAAGACATTGAATTTTTTTGCATGAAAGACATTTTTTACAGACCTGTGTAATTCTTTATAAAGATAGTCATCTTTATAAAGAATTTTTTTTTGCAGATCTGTGTAAAGAATTACACAGATCTGCAAAAAAAAATTTTTTTCCAGCTGCATGGGATATTTTTGCCAAATTATATGTTTTAAAGATTGGAGATTCTAAAAATGACTTCCATAACATCCCATCACGTATAGTTTTTGCAAAATAAAAACAAATTTTTGATAAAAACTCTTATTTATTACAATGAACTAAATATATTATATTTTCTTACAACTAATCAAAAAATTGTTTCTGATATTTATACACAATTTTAGGTCTACTCCTTTTTTTTATGATACCTTTTCTTCTTCTCTTTGATGCTCCAAGCTCGTTTCCGATTTCATTCTCTGGTTTCTCGATTGAGCATCCAACAGTAGTCAGCTAACATATTGACATCCCATTTTCCTTGGTAACGTCTCTCGATATCATGGACATCCTGGTGAAATCTTTCACCCTGTTTGTCACTGTAGGCTCCTAAGTTTTTGGGAAAATAGTCAATATGGGAATGTAAGAAATGAACTTTTATGCTCATCTTGCATCCTTGAGCTTCATATGCTGCCAGCATGCATTGTACAATGATGTTGTAGTCAGGATACTTAGTATTCCCCAAAAACTTATGTACTATATTCTAGAAAGAGTCCCATACTTTTTTTCCTTTTCTCCCATTGTTTCCAAAAAGAGGGGATCATATAAAAGTTTTCTTATGTTGGGGGCAGTGAAAACTCCCTCTTTTAACTTGGCTTCAGAAAGTTTCGAGAACTTGGAACACAGATATCTGAAATATTCCCCATCTCTTGGCAGTGATTTGACAAACTGCTTTATAGCCCCAATTTAATATGAAGAGGTGGTAATAACATTTTTTCTGGGGGAACCAATGTTGTATTGATGACATTTTTCTCACCAGGGGTTAAACTGTCTCATGGTGGCCAGTCAGTTTTTGTCCAGCGCAGCTGTCTTGCTCTACTATCCCATAAACAACAAAAGCAAGGATATTTTGCATAACCTCCCTGCTGACCCAACAACATGTTAGTTTTTTGAAATCTCCACAAGCCATCCATTGATGCTCTTGATATTTAATTTTCTCAAGAATCAGAGCCAAGTCAGTATAGTTTTCTCCTTAGTGTTACCACCCGGACAGTCCAGGAATTGACTCACTGTCTGTGTGAGCTATTAATTTTGTCTGGGAATATCGAGTACAACCTGTTGCCTGTTGATCTTTTTTCTCTTATTTTTATTTTTGCTTGTACGATTCATATTCGCACACATCTCCAATATCCAATAGAGCTAAGTCATCTCTAGTTGTTTTTTCTTAATTTAGGTTACTTACATTACTCCTACCCAAGTCTCCCTAGTCCCTAACTATAACTGATTTAGAACTGGCATGCACTGCACGTTATTCTTTGCAGTGCAAAATGACATTGTGCATGTGTCAGGAACTTCTGTTCGAACAAACCTCACCTGCTGTCCGGGTCAGCAATTTGAAAAGGTGGCAACACTATTTCTCCCATATGAACTGAGTATCCCATAGGAAGAGATACAAATACATTTCCATTATGCAGCAATACTGCTTTGAGGCTAGTTTTAGACAAATCAATGAATATGCGCCATTCTGATGAATCATTCTGTTTCAACGCACTTCATGAGCCCATGAACATCATTACAATAAACTAGATTTTCCTCTTTGGAGAAAAACTGAGTAAATTTTCTCTCTCTCGATGCCTGTACCACAAAAATGAGGTCCCAGATGATAGCAGGTTTTTGGTTTTTAGCCTTGATCCTAGCAATTCAGCTGCATCTTTTGAAAGATCTAAGTCTCTTACTAAGTCATTGAGCTCACTCTGAGAAAAAATTTGAGGTCCTTTGTCAACAGAAAAATCTGAGCTAGATTCGTCCTGGGAAGCTAATGTGCCTGAGTCCTTTGACTCATTCAGGCAGAGCCGTAACTAGGATTTTGGATGCCTATGGCCAAGAATAAAAATAGTGCCTTTTTAATTTTTATTATTAAAAAAAAATAATTTTATTCTAAAAAAAATGCTATTGTAAAAAATTATCTAATGACACTTAAATACTATATAAATATAAATATAAGAACTTTTTGGGTTATTAATTTCGAATACATATTATTTCGAAACCTTCTCGTTGGCGCCTTTATTAAATCGGTACCTATGGCGGGGGCCACATTGGCCATACCCTAGTTATGGCTCTGCATTCAGGATGTCATCTAAATTAGAAGGTGGCTATGGAACTGGTTTTTCAGAACCATGGGACACTGGACGAATAGCTGAGACAAGGTTAGGGTAAAATATTTTATTTTCATTTTTTGTATTAAATCCTTTAACATCTACCGAACAGAAGTAGCAGTCGGTTGTGTGATTTTTCTGTTCATGCCATATCATAGGAATGCCAAAACAAAATGAGTTTTTCTTACCCTTAAACCACAAACAAAGATCTTCCTCGCATCTTATGCAGAGCCCATGCTTTGTCTTGATCTCCAAGTATGGGAACTTCCTTCCAATATGAGATTCCCCGACGAACTCCCCGAATCCTGCCGATCTTTGACTATATCTCATGATTTGTGACCAATCAGCTTATTTGTCTTCACTCACATGAACGGATGAAAAGGGGAATTATTGAGGGGTCGCCAATTCCCAGTGTGGTGAGATTTGTGTTAGATAAGTGGAAAAACAAAGGATGCTTCAACTTCCGTTAAAGGAAGTGGCTCTTTTATCAGTTTTCCCACGTTAGAAAAACGATATTTTCACACCAAAACAAAATAATATTTTACTTCATAAATTTAATTTTATATTTAAATTGTTAATTAGACCCAGGGACTATTCGGATCTTACACAAGTTTCAATTTGAAATACGCAAAATAAACTTTCTTCACAAACTCACTTAGGTTTCTTTGTTGATTTTTTATTGTGTATTCACCACAAATATAACAGAAGCTGTCGGGAGAAATTATATAACCTCTGAGAGGCATATTCCAGAAATAAAAATACAAGCACAGTAGCGTTTGAATGCTGGATATGAACTGAGTGTGGCATTAGATGGCCAGTGAGATACTGAACTTTTTTAGCTTGTTGAAACATGATCTAATCCAACAGTAGGTTGTTTATATTTATTCCTATTATCCCAGATAGCATGTCAAAACATGCTCAACCTCACCAGTAATATAACTATCAACTTTTAACCTGTTTCTACATGATCATGCAACCTTTCTCCTAACGCTATAACTACTTAACTCACCTCCCCCTACCTTTACTCTCTTCAACCATTAACATTTTTTTTTTATTGCCAAGTGCAGCTATAATTGATAGAATTAATGTGAGAAGCTTCGTTTTAAGGCCATATTTTAAATTAAAAAAAAAAAAACTAAATTTTAAGTTAACTAGGAATTTTACGCTAGATACAAACAAAAACTTGAGTGTAACAAAAAAAATTGACAAGATGGAATTTTTTTCGTTTTTACCAAGTTGAAATCTATAAGAAAATGTATAAAAATCCTATGCAGTTTTTTACTTGCAGACCTGTGTTATGTTATGTGATAATTATATTAAAAAAATTACATAGAACCACAAACTGTCTAATATACTGTATATGTTCATTGTATGTTTTAGTATTTCACTAATTCAATCTTATTTTGCATTAAAAAAATTGAATTTATAAAAACTATAAATACTAATACTGAATTGTTATTAATGATGATAGAAGACAATTTATATACATTACTAAATCATATAACTAATATAGGAACAAGAAACAGAAAGAAATTTTCAAAAAATAAAGATACTTTTAGATAAAAAACTTGAAATATCAGAAATGGATAAACATCGCGAAATACTGAAGGAACGTTTAAAAATTATCATCACAAAATTGAAACTACTTAGAGATGATGAGGAAGAGCGTTCTGCTGCAGGAGTTAAAGTGTAAATATCTCAAGCTGTAATAATGTTAAACAGTTTAAAATATATTCTACAGGACTTACTAGTATTTAAAACATTAATTTTATTTTTCAGTAGATGCATTTCATGTGATAGACCATTGAAACAATTTAATAAGAAGTAAGTATTTTTCAAATTCTATGTAGAATATCATAACATTAAACTTATAAAATAAAAATCATCACCATCCTAACTTTTTCAGTTCACCATACTTGAGATTTACATTCTGAATCTTCTTGCTTCATGCCTTTTTGTTTCATATAAATTCAACTCATTGATTGAAAAAATGCAAAATAATTATAATTCTGATCATATAAATGCTAAAAAAAATGTCTCTAAAAACAGCCTGAGTCAATAAATTTGATTCCTTTTTAAATAAATAATTTTGAAAAGTCAAAGGTCAAAATTTGAAACAACTAATCTATCAAGACTTTCTTTTTTTATAGATGAACATTATACCCACAGTAAAATCCCTACTTTACAGCCATCAATGGTTCTGAGCAAAAGTGGTTTTTATGAGGGATTACTCTGAAGGGGTTTTAATTAAATCAAATAATAAATACAATATCTTAAAGTATAGTGTATTTTAATCTTGTATTAGTCCAAATGAAAAAAAAACAGCACTTGTTTTAAGCATGTAACTTTTTGCAATACAATTTCTTTTTCAAATTCCTTTTTTACTTTGCACCAAAAAAAGTTTAAAGATGTGTATTTCCTAAATTATTTGTCAGTAGCTTTTGACTGGCAAGCACTTCCAAAAAATCACTTAGTTTCATAGGAAAAGGTTCTGGCCATTCATTGTTGTAATCATCCTGTATGTTCATTGTACCATTCATTGTTATAAGCATCCTGTTCTTCATTCTCCATGTCATATTCCTTAAACAGATATTCCTCCCAATTTCCCTCTAAATTTTTAGAGCAAATAACTTTCTCACCCCCTCTCTGGTTTTTGCTTACTAAATTAAATACTCAAACAACTGCAAACAAAGGAATTTTGTGAATTTTGAAACCATATTACTGGAAACATTTCTTGATTGTTTTAGGTTAAATCTCAGGCCAGCACTAGCAGAAATATGGCATGCAACCTGATTTGAACAATAATAGCCTTAAGGTACTGCTTACAATACTGAATTTTGAATGCTCGAATGATTTCCTACTCTAAATGGTTGAAGTAGAGCAGTCGTATTTTCTGGAGAAAACTTAAGTTCATCATTTGAAGCTTGATTTTTGTATTGCATGGAGAATCTTGCTGTTCTTTTTAATTTTATCATTCAATCTTTCAAGCTGTTCTGAAAAAACACAGTGATCATCCATGTCACTCAATTCATAATCAGTGAAGTTTTAACTGTGACATCTATGTTCCTAAAACATCTTGGCCAGAAAGCTTTACAGGAGGCTCCTTCTCACCAGTTGTGCTACACAAAAGGCAAACTGTGTTAATCGTTCTTTTGCAAGTTTAACTCCTTTACACTACACACTTTTTCTTGTAAGCATTTTATAGGGAAAAGCTCTGAAGAACAAAACAGTCTCACTCATGTTGTACACATCAGACAGATCATAATTTCCAACAATTTTTTTATCCTGTTAATTTAATCTGAGACAACTTAGCTTTCACCACACACTAATTGAAACACTGCTGTATGTTGCAGAGAAAGATTTGTTTTTATGTGGTCATAATTGGGTGGTTGCAGTTGGAAGTAGGAATGGTCCAGTTGAGGGGGGTTGAGATACATAGAAATTAGGGATTTGCTGCTCTGGACAAAAGTGGTTTTTATGTAGGATGGTCTTTTAGAGGGGCTTTACTGTGTTTACAAAAATTCAAATATTTTCTTAGATAAAAATCATCATCCTTTAAGACATTAAAATAAAATAATAAAACTACTTTATTTTAATAATTTAGGGTAAAAACATAATTGAATCTTAATCTGCTTAACAAAATCAATGATTTCTATTTCAGATATTTGGTAGTAATTAATTATCTCGACAATTTTGAATATGTAAATAAATTTAAAATACAAGAATTATTGAAATTCAAAAATATTTAGCCTGTTAATAAATGCTTAACATACCATCATATTTCCTTGAGTGCAAGATACCAATGAATAAAAAAAATCCAGTAATGAGTTGCATAACTTTCCTGGCTGTTAAAAGTTATTTTTTAACAGCCAGGAATTTATAGTTATAGGAATAGTTATTATGATTTAATATGTTATTAAATCATAATAACTAAAATTATATGTTATTAAGTATGAATTATATGTTATTAAATCATAATAAATAAAATTGTGTGGGGTGCCATCTGTTATGAGATTTTTATTATTATTATTACAGTATTATTATAAAATGGCATAAAGCTTAATTTTGAGTGTAGTGATGAGTTTTATAAAAAAAATTGTAAATGCCAATTACAAGTAAAATTCATTAAGTCTGATTCTTCTCAAGATATGGCACAATCTCCTCTATTTCCCCAACCTCTCAACCTTTAACCATCAAAGTTTAATAGCATCAATGTCCCTTAAATACAAGTTACTATGCCAAATTTTATTTCTTAATCTTTATCCCATCCTGAGATATTAAACGAAATAGACACCAACACCCATGGAATGTTTTTTCTACTTTTTTGATTCAGGGGGTCTCAAAATGTGAAGATTTGCAAAAAACTCAGATGATCAAATTTGACAAGATTCCAATACTTTCTCTTGTTATGTATAGATAACACCCAGGGAAAGTAAAATGAGACTTTGCTGAATATGAAGAGAAATCCATTGGAGCATTTTAAAAACAGTTATTGATGATTATAAATTTATATTAAGTAAAGTTACAATAATAAAAACAGATTTAGATTTAACCTATATGCTTAATTTGTCTCAAATACTGTGTCTGTATCCTATATATGATTAATGAATATGCTCATAACAATAAAATACTTTGTATACACTTGTATTGTTCAAATTAAAAATAATGAAATAATTTATTATACCATATTTCTTCAATTCTAAGATATTTCTAAGATGATTCTAAGACATACCAAAAAGTTATTAAAAAACATCTTAAAATTAATTTCCAAAGGAAAAAATTTTTAAACAACAAATTCTAATAAAATTGGTCAAGTAACAAGTTAAGAAAAGAATTTAAATCATACAAAGCAGATAGTTTGGCAACTCTGTTTCCATAATCTTCTGCTGCATATATAATTTGACATTATAATGTAGCATTAGAATGAAATTTTGAAGCACTTTAATATAATAAAAAGAACTTAAATTAAATGCTCACTATCAGCAAAACAAATATGAATGACAAGACCGTTGAGCAGTATAACCAAAAAGAATTGTTATTGGTGCATACTACATCACATGGTCCACTTGCAGTGACTTCTGATTAAAAGTACTATTTTGGACTAAAAATGTCTTACAATTGATAGTGCATTACATCTCTATTTCAGATAAGTAAAATAGTGCATTCTAGAATCAAGGAAATGGCATATATTGAAAACAAAATAATAAATTTTTATTGATGTTTCCTCTTATGCTTGTTGAGTAAGACTATTGTGTTTATATGTATTTATATACAGAATTGCACAAATATTATATACAGAAGCAAGTAGACAATGAGAGAACCATTTATTTTTACTATATTTAAAAATATTTGAATAAAAATAATATTTTATATCATAGATTGATAGAAATCAGTTCATATTAATTAAATTGCAATGTATATGGATTTCATTAACACATTTATTCTATTTCAGTGCTGTTATAAGTGATGGAAGCCAAAATCCATTGTTACAATTTGAAATGCCACATAATAGGTAACATATAAACTAACATACTACCTATATAATTAAATATAGATTGTATGTGTAATGTAACATAAGTAATTTGCAATTTATAATTCATTTTTTTATTTAGTGAAGGTTTTTTGCCACCAGTAAACAAAGGTAACCTATCTGAAGGCTATCATAAACTGAAAACACAATCCTTTTATTTGAAAAAGACTGCAATAACTGGGTTAGTATATCTTTTAAAGTTTATCTTATTAAAGATTACATCCACTTTTAAAAATATTTATCTATTTTTAAAACTCTTCCTTCAATATCATAATAATAATTACATGTTTAAAGTTAATTAATCTCAATTGTAATTTATTTTTTAAAATTCACTTGCATGTTTTCATTTTATATATTATAATTAAATAACTTTCATGAAAATTTAGTAATGAAAAAAATTTTAACTTTTCATTGTGTTAATTTTCTAAACAAATCCAAAATCTGCAATTAGCTGCTTTCAATAATCAAAAATATCTGGACAAATTTTTATAAATTAATTTTATATTAGAAAAATAATTGCATGCAAATTACTAAAAAGTCTTTGAATAACAACATGTATTTTAACAATATAAAATTATGCATAATTAACTTCAGGCAAATGTAAAGTAGGATATGCAATAAGCATGCATATGCATTTATACATTAGCTTTGACATTAAACTAATAAATATTAAAAATTATTCTAATATATATTAATTCTGATTTTATTTTTCAGTCCAGATGGAAATAAGGCCTGGTAAGTATCAGTTTATTCTTTTAGTTTTACCATCATAATACAAAAAAGTTTACAGAAAATTTATTAAAATACAGTAGACCCCCTATGACGCTTAGATACGTTCCACGCTAATCGAATTTTACGTTGTAGGAATGATTAAATACATGAGCCAATCGCAGCGTGATAGGTGTGAACTTCACGGACTAAGGCTGTTTGAAAGGTTTTCTTCTATAAAATTAACCGATTCTAGACTAATTCCACTCAACATTTCCAAAACACGTATAATTTTTTGGGAATAATCTGTATAAACTATGTTATAAACAAAAAATTATAGGAATACTTACTGAGTGTGCACCATTCGACTACGCCGTTGTTCAAAGCTTGTCTTCATCGCGGAACAGCACACGAAACGGCGGCCGCGATTTCTGATAAATAATTTTTCGCAGAAAAATAACTTGACCTTTGGAGACATCATTAATATAAATAATTTTTATGGCCGTTGAATAAGAAGTGTTTCTTTCACAAGAAATGTATAAAATTAGTGCTGTATTAGACTTACGGTACCTAATTTACATACTGTACAGACGATAATAAACTCAACTTACTAGCCTAAAATCTCCGTAGCGTGTTGCCAGGCGGCAGAAAGCATATATATAATTATAATAAAGTTACAATAAATTAAGTTAATATATAATTATATATACAGTACCTAATTTATATATAATTATTATATAATTATATGTACAGTACCTAATTTATATATAATTTATATATAATACTAAACAGACGATAGCAAACTCAATTTAGCCGCTCCGTAGCGTGGCGCAGGGTCGGAGGAAAGTAGTTTGGCTGCTCATCCACTATTGGTCCAGACTATCAATCTTGTCGCGAAACGAGTCGGCGAAGACGTTTTAGGAGCTGCTTTATACGAATGTTGCTACAATTTTTTCGCTACGTTATAGGAATTGTCATTATAGGAACGCACGTTATAGGGGGGGGTCGACTGTACAGTACACTCTTGCTAATCTTTTCTCACGATTATCAGGCATACCCCAGTGTAATTGCCTTTGTGTTTTGATATCCACGAAAATGTTTGTCATGTCACACATCCTGTTTATCGTTTACTCAGGTTTCATTTCTGTGCACAGTATCACATGTCAGCACACCATATTGTTTGCCCATCTGCCGCCAAAAAGAATCGGTACAAAAGGACTTGCCCTTTGATACTGATTCTTTTTGGAGATGTCATTCGTTGGCTTCAGGCCTATACACTCAGTAAATTTGACACACACTAATTTGGAACCCCTCTGCACAAGGAATGGCCAGATTAGCAAAAGTCTAATGCAGTGGCAAGTCTTTTTCCAATAGTAGTTCAAAATCAAATTTGAAATTTAGTAATTCCAAATCACAGGTCAAATATTTAATTTGAGTACTTTAGAAAAAAAAAGAAAAGAAATTTTACTGAACTTTCTAAACTATCAAAACAAAAACAAACAACAAATTCTATGTAAATGAAATTAATAATAATAATGCAACTATAATGGAAACAAATACTGTATTTCATTTAATAGGATATCTGCTGTTGTTTATTTGATGATAACTTTTCTGTCCGAGGTTTATAATTAGTGACCCGTAAGACTCTTTCCAACAGCTTTAGGATCTGCTTTTACACTATACATGGTGTCTCAGTTAAATGTTTCAGAACTTCTATGAAGGGTAGGGTGCATCCTGACGACTTGGAATCATATAGCAATGTGGGGTTGGAAATGCTCTCTTGACGCTGTAGATGGCATTGTGTGAAAGTTCCGAGTGTTCTTGCAGGGAATTATCATTTCGCACAAGGACACAGAGTTAGCCTATATGCATTTGGTGTACAGGGCTGCAGATTGTAGTGGGCCAGCCACACAACACTTGTAAGTGAAACGATATCTGACGAGGCATATTTCCAGCCATAATTTCTTTGCAAGCCTGCACCAGAGATTAACTGTTTCTGTGTACATCACCGCTTCAGGAAAGCATTTCTGACCCCACATTGCTATATGATTCCGAGTCATCAGGATGCACCCTACCCCTCTTAGAAGTTCTGAAACATTTAACTGAGATACCCTGTATATGCAAAATTTTGAAATCTACCAAACATTTTTTAAATAATTTATAAAAACTGTTGTGGTACCTTGAAATCATTACATGGTTTACAGATTTGCCATTGCTAGTTGAGTGTATTTTTATACTAGATTCTTGAAAATCTACAAATTTTCCATCATACAAAATTTATTCTTTAGAGAAAATTTTATCAAATGTTTTACCATCTAAACACATTTTTAAAATATTTAAAAGCTATCGTTATATTTATATCTATCCAAATAAATTTTATTGAATATTGAAATTTAATATCAGGGAAGAGGTTCCATTACAAGGAACAGACGGACGAATATATCGAGGATATTTAGAGAAAACTCGGCAAATTTCCTCGTCACAATGGTAAATAGTAAATCAGTTTTATACAATGTGTTATAAATAATAATAATAATTTATTTTTTCTGAATTCAGTTGATATATAAGTAATTTTCTTTATCAGTTAACAGATTTCTGTTAACAAAATTTAGAATCAAGTCCTATTCAAGTATATTTAATGTTTCCTTGAAATCCTTATATTTTTAGTTGTATATTTTAAACTGTATTTATAATCTATAATATAGACAGACTTAATTGAAACAAAATTGTATATTATCTCAAATACATAATTTTTTCCTGTATAACTTGAATATTTTCTTATATAATTTTTAATTTATAGAACATCATCATTCAAGATCCACAGATTTAGACTAATAACAAAAGTTGATAAATTTATCATTAAAAGTTAAATATGTAACTTTTAAAGTACTAATATACCATAATTTCTGAAAAAAGTAACAATTAAATAACATCCTTAGGAAACAAAAACTAATTCTGCAGCTGAAAAAGCCAAATTTTTTGATCTGTTCATTCAAAACATCAATCTTATTTAATTAAATCAACTATTTTGAATTTAACAGATCAAAAAAATTTACAGCTTTTTTATTATGTGAAAATACACAAAGAACTTAAGAAAATTAGAGCCATTATTAAAAGGGTATATCTACGTGTGGAATTTAGAATTTACAGAAAAATTTGTAAATCATCATGATAAATTTGGGAAATATATTTTCTGTTTTTCATATATATCATATTTGAATTACATATGTTATTATATTATAATTTATTTACTTACTAATTTAATCTATTCATTTTTGTTTAATTCAATGATTATGTAAGTTCCAAATCTGTGGTGAATTTGTTTACTCTAATATTTAATCCAAATGATTCCTAACAGAAATAAAACAATTCTGAAATTTTAATTCATTAAAATCAAATTATTAATATTTTTCAAAAAATTTATTAAAAAATCCATTAAAATCATTTTAATTTAATTCAAACAACAAATTGAATTTTAACAAATTTAAACAATAAAAATTGTCATTAAAATTTTGGAGATTGGTTATAAAATAAATATTTTGAACTATCAGATTTGTTTTATTACTCGGAAATATATTTACTTTTATTCTTATAAAAATTTTATAATTTTTTAATTATATAAAAGGAAATAGTTAATGAATTTTGATTAAATATCTTAGAGAATTGAGTATTCTTTATAACTTAATTGTAAATTCAATTCAAAGAATATTTAATTTCCATAAAATGAAAAAAAATGTGTATTTCACAATATGTATGAATATGGTACTAAATGCTAAATTAATTATTGTTCATGATTTAGCTCCAAATAAATAAGAAAAATTATTTATTACTAAATTAATTTTATTAACAGATTAATTTTTAAAAAATAAAATTTTCTTTTCAGATTATACAAGAATATTCAAAATTGTTTAATCACAAGTTAAAATTTTTGTATCATGTATCAAAATAAATTTTTAATTTCATTTAAAACTGCTGAATATGTTAGTTATTCTTTAAATAAATTAATATGCGGGCTATTTTTTAAATAAGGTCCGTTTTTTAATAAGAAGAAAAATACTGTAAATATCATTAAAATATATTTTTTCCCATATTCTACATACTTTTATCTACTTTTCTACATAATTTCCATTTTTGTTCAAAGATTTGTCATACCACTCAAAAATCTTTTTAATTCCAATTTCAAAGAAATCTGCCGCCTGCCGCCAGAAGACATTAGGCCACGCTGCTTGTCTTGTATGACACAGCGGAGTTTTCTAAGGTCACACAATAAGCATCAGAATTGATTGTTGTGCCTCTTGGCATAAAATCCACCAACAAAGTCCCTTTCTTGTCCCAAAAGACAGTTACCATGATCTTTCGTGTTGAAATCAAATAACAGATCATATCTTATGGTCGGCGGGCGACTCAATTTTCTTAAACATTATAAACTTCTACAGTTCAGCACACAGATAGACGAAACGACTGCAAATGGCATCTAAACATGCGCAAGGAATGCTGAAAGCAGATGCTCATGCACACTGCTGCAATCATGCGTCATTCTCACTCTCATTCACAAACAGACCTTATTTAAAAAAATAGCCCTTGTACATTTTAACTTCAATTTAATGCAATTAAAATTTATCATTGTTAAAAGTTATTGTTTGTTTGTTTAGTTAAGTTACGGCAACACAACACTTGGGCGATATGCCTATGGGGAATGCCTTCAGAGAGGTCATTTTATGGTAACTGGCCCCTATTCAGATGTTAAAGATGTGGAGAAAACGTGGAAAACTCCATGTGACCAGCCCATCCTTGCGAGGTGCAAACCTATGACTGAACTGTCAGTGTTCAGGGAATGGAACCGTTTGGCCACTGGTGGGCCAGTTATTGTTATTAAATTTTAACATCTATACATTACAATTGCTGGTATTTTTTTTTATAAGAATGTTTTTTTACAAATTTTTATAATTATAATATAAGCATATAAAGTTTTGAAAATATAATTGATTGGTTAAATTACATGATTCCTGTAACTGGTGTAATTTTCTGATCTGATTTATTACATCAACTTGTTTTTTTTTTCTTTCTTTAAATTGGCAACCAAATTGCAAAGCTATTAATCAGAAGTAATTAAAATCTTTTAAAATTTTCAGCACATTTTTGGCAGGAAGTTGCAAATAAAACTTTCAATTTAATATGATATTAGCTAAGAAAAATAACAGTTGAAATTTTCTGAAATTGTTTTCTTAATGTTACAGATTCTGATTAATTCATAAAATAGAGCCCACCAAGGCTGAGTAGATAAAAAACACTGAACATTGGTAGTTGGTCTTGGGCTTGTGCCTATCCAATGGGCTGGCTGTGAGAAGTTTTCTGGGTTTTATTCTTGTGTCTAATACTTAAATAGAAGCCAGTTTCCCCAAAGGAAGTCCTCCCAGAAGGCATAAGTTGAGGAGATTGTCCTTGTATTGTGGTGCTTTATTCAAATGAACCAACAAATTCTTAAAAGAACATATTTTCCATATACTCATCATTAGGGAAATTGAAGAAGAAAATTCTAAATTTAATTATTATTCATTTAATATCCAGCATTAAAACAACATATTAATCTTGAGAACCAAACCACATACTTGTATTAGATTATTGTAATTAGCATACTCCTTATCCAATGTTATCTGGAGAAACTGTTTGCATCTGGACTTCTACATAATTTTATATGCTGACATTTCCGACTTGTAGAAAAGATTTACATATAGAAAAAATTTAGTTCTAAAATCCAAGAAATATTAAATGTGTTTACCTCTGGTATTTATGTTACACATCATAAGTAAAATATAAAAAATAAAGAGAGAAAAGTCACTTTTCTGAGACAAAGGCAACTTTTATAAATAATGATTTCATTTTTACTGTTGATGTCACAATTCTATAAGTGTTTAATATAAATATATAGATTATCTAATCCATATATGTATAATAAACACTTGTAGGATTTTCTGCCACACCTTATACACAGAATTTTAGCCAACAATATTGTTTAGTCATTCAAAATACTTTTACATAGTTTCCATCTGATGCAAACTCTAGAAAAAAAAAACAGTGAATACATTGATACGAGTTTTTTTATACATTAAAATATCACTTATTTATTGCAAGTTTAGAAAATGAATATATGTAAACCTCTTGGAAACCTTTGTATATAATTTTATTGACGTCTATCAATTCTATAGGAAATTTCATATCGGTAAGCCATCATTGTATCAAATAAAAATAAATTTTTTAACTACCATAAGTAAATAAACATTGGGCAGTATTATAAATTATACTATGTTAGGATATTCTCTCTTCTTGCAATTATTTAATTTTTTTGTTAAGATAATTTATGTCAGTTCTTGTCAAAGAGTAATTATTAAATGTTCTATGAATCATGTACGACTGAGTTTAAATTGTTACTCAAACAGTAGCAAGAAAAAATTAAAATATTTTTCATTGAATAAAAAAAATTCTCAAAAATAATTCATTATAGTCATAAAAAACAACTCAAAATGAATTACTATGTCAAAGAAACATGAATCTATAGATGTAAAATATTACATCTATAGATTCTGATAAAAAACAATCAGAATTATTTTAATATCTAGACAACTTTATATATAACAATGATTAATAATTTATTTCAAAACTGTTAATAATAATCAGGTCCACACAAGACTTTAAAATGGTGGTATTTAAAAAAAAAGCATTATTTATTCATAACATAGTTTAACTTTTACAATACAGGTGTATGTAGTAACAATACAGTAGACTAAAGAACTGAACAGGTACAAAATATACACACTTAATATATTGTTTTATTAACATAGTAATATTCTTTCTGTTTGAACTGCCAAATGGGAGGGATAGGGCAATCAAGAGCTCATATGGGGCACAAGGGTACAGCAGGTCATTTTTTTGAATGAATGAAATACGTAGAAATGTTTTTATATTAATGAAAAGCAGTCTTAAGGACTTTATTTTTTGTTAGTAAAAATATTAATTTATAGGGGTAAAAACCACTATTAACTCCTAAATTTTCTCTGGGCCCCAGCTCCCCTCCCTTGATGATCCTGGAGGGGGGTTAAACCCCGAAACCTCCTGTGTGCACAACCCTGAAATAAATTATTTTGAAAATTTAATAATCATTATATATAAAAAACAATTTGAAAAATATTACAAAAGGAAATCATCAAACGTAACATATCTACTACAGGGGAACCTTGGTATACGACCTTAATCCATTCCTAATGTTTGGACTTATACCGAATAGGACATATACCAAACCAACCTTTCCCATAAAAAGTAATGTAAAAATGATTAATCTGTTCTCATGAAAAAATGCCTGGCTTTAAACACCTCGCTTTTCTGGCTAGTTCCTGCTTGATTTTTCATGAGATCAGCACGTATCTTTTTAGCTTTCTCGCAAATAATTGCTTCTGATATGCTGTCCCCAGCACACTGTTTTACAGTTATCCAAAGCAAAAGCAATTTCTCAACATGATCTAATGTCTTCGATCTCTGTTTAAAAATTGATTTAATCTCTTTCGCAATGTTAGCAGATTTAATAATGTCTTTATTTTTCGCGATTGTCGATATGGTCGTTCTCGGAATACGGTATGCAACAGTTAAATCTCAAACACGCATGCCACCTTCATATTCCTCAACAATTTCTTTTTCAGTTCCATTGTGATTCTAGTCATTTTTTTAGTTTTCTGTTGCTTTTCACTTGCCTTTTTGCAATTCATGATTAATAAAAATAATAAAATATTACTTACAAATTAAAATCAGAAGAAATTTAACAAAGTTAGAAACTGTGGCATCGCGAACGTCTAGTCTAGTCTAGTCTAGTCTAGTACACCGAAAGTGTTACTTGTTCATAGATGGCGCGTATAATTGAATTAAGTCGTATACCGAACAAAAGTTGTATACCGAGCAAAATTTGTTTCGTCCAAACAGGAAGTATTCCAAACTGGACGTATTCTAAAGCAGACGTATACCGAGGTACCACTGTATTTTTAAACTTACCTTCAATTCTTTCACTTCATTTGTTTCTTCAATACAATCTGCTACATAAGCCATCATCGATACACTCATTTCAATATTGTACTCATCATTTTCTTTTTCAATTTCTTGAGTTGTCTGTGCCTTAACAGGATTTGTTTCTTTAATAATATGACAACATTCCGATAACCCATCCTCAGAGTCAATTTCTTCCTCTTCATAAATCACATCGCTCACTAAGGAAGTCTCTTCTAAATTTATAAATGCATTCCATAATGGTCTCTCAATAAAATGTCCATTAACTAGCACTGAAATCTGTGCTGCTGACGTAGCAATACTTTGAATCTTCTGGTGACCAGAATTCTGTAAAACAATGTTTAATAAAAACTTTTAAACATTAAGTTAAAAACATTCTATTAACTCTATTGCTTGTGTCTACTAAAATCATTTTTCTATATTAACCCAGATTAATAATAATAAATCAAAACATGATTAACCATGGTATATTCATTATTATTACTTTTTGTTCTTTGGGACCGTCCATAAATTATGTAATGCTATTTTTATACTTTTCAACTACTATCCACCTTCTTGTAACCACTAGCATGATTGTGCTAGGGTTATCCAGATGCCACTCTAAAAATTTTTTGAAAGACAAAATGGTGCTCTATTTTTCAAAGGCAAGTAGCATATAAAAATTACAAAATTAACTAATTTTTATATTACCAACTACATTTATCTGTATATAATCATGATTTCCAAAAGTAAATTAAATAATTTGTTTACCTCCGTTCCAATTTACACACACACGACAATGCGCAAAGCGCCCCCATACTTCTGTACCATGGGACCGAACAGTCAACATTGCATCGGCAATAATTAAGTCATCAGGTCTGACACCACTGTGTCTTTAAGAACAGACACAGAAACCTCGATGGCTGTTAAGTTCAATTTCTTGCATGAGTGGTCACATGTAGGCACTCAGACTCAAGATGGAGAAGGTTTGAGAGACAACCGGTGGAAGAAGTGCACTCAACTATTAGATTAACATTAACAAATACCCATTTATTAGATAAGTAAATTACATCTATGTACAAGAGTTCATAAGGCTTTATAAGGATTTGTAGCTAGTTTTATATCTCTACAACTTAGCCATTATCATTAATATTGCAAGTCCCTTACTGAGAGAGAGAGTTCACAATTATTTGCAGGTGGATAAATACCTTGTGAAATTCAAGGAGATTGGTTCTTTTGTTAAATTGGAATTTCAGCAAATCAATGGTCCACAGGACTGTTTGTTCAGGATCATTCGACAAGTCAAACTGGAGCGTTGATAGCAGTCCAGTAGGATTGAGAGGATAACTTGTTAGGATTGGCAGTATGGGCGATGTATCCAAGATGAGTGGTGAACTCTGGAGATGAACAAACTCTCTGTGTCATCATTGGACATTTTCTTTTTATTTGGGGATTCTCCCCTCTTTCTTCTCCTGCCCATTTTTGGTAATGTTGATTTCTCTGTCCAATAATAATTTTTGTTGTTAGGTTCCTGGTGACACATTTGATGTGTCACCTGGGAAAGGAAGCGACTCCTGCTAAAGATATGATCATATCCTCTGACAATTAAATTATTTTTTTGCTGAGAAAATTTTACCACAAATAAATTTTGGAAAAATTTAATTTTTTACCCCCAAACTTTTCATCAAGTCTAGGCTCTCACACACACAACCAAAACAGGAAGCAAGCACTCTTCTAAATACTGGAGCTTAAGCAGCATGATGTTTCAGGCATGTTAAATTAATTAATTCATGTCTGCTTTGAAAATGGCTGCCTTCATTTATTATTATTTAAGATCTGATCATCAATCTACAAATATTTAATGAACTATTAATTAAGATCCTTAACTTACGAACAAATTTAGGTAAGAATTTTAATAATTAATTTCATAACTTTATAAAAGTTATTAGCGAGGTTGTGGCCAAAGTTTTCATCTCTAAAATGTGAACATTGAATGTCACTTACAAGATAGTGGTGCTTGATGTTCAACATTCACGTTTTAAAGATGAAAACTTTGGCCACAGCCTCACTATTAGTTATCAAAAGTCAACTTGGTACAACAATTCTACACCAAAAGATCCAGGAGGAGATCCAGGGGCAGAGCCTCTTGGACCTCTCACTGAGAGCATCACCTGATGAACCCCTTTAAAAGGAAGTTTTTCAGGTGACATCCCCAGTGGGAGGCCTCAGGTGTCCCATAAAATCATTATCTGGTCTGGCACTTTTTTGTTTATGAATATATCTCTGTCCATAACACATTGTCACATATATCCACTCCCAAAATTACACATATCCTTTTTAATTGTACTAAAGAATGGGGTAATGAACATTACATTATTTTACTAATTGCATGTATAACATACAAATCAGTGACAAACAGTAATGGTTTGCTATGCAACACTTCAGAAACAAAAATGAATCATTCTGTTATCCAAGGGTTAAGATCCTAGCATTAAATATTTTTGTAAACACCCCCAACCCCTTATAACATATCATAAAAATTACCTGCATACCCACATCTGCATTATGTAATTTATGGACAGCTCCTCTTACAGGAAATATTTTGTAAATTATTAATATATTATTTTTAAAAAATAAAAAACAAAATTGATTATATGATAAATTAAGATTTTTATAAAAGTATTAAGTTCTCTAAAATGACATGATGCCAATAGCTAATATACAGTATTTTTTTTTTCTAAGAATGTCTAACTAAAAAATGCTGTATTTATATCATCTGAAAGTTAATTATTGATAAAACTTAAGAAATTAATTTAGAATAATTTAATTTAAACTTATAAGATGAGACACTTCTATGGCATTTGAACTGTCAGAAATTCCACTATTTGTAATGTTTACCATTATATCTCCAGATATTTCCAGCTCTTGGACTTTCTGTGAAGAATTTCTTTGTGCCGAAATCTGCAGAACTCTCTAGTCCCAATTGCAGATGCATCTGAGGATCATATAAAACAGTAAAAGAATAATTAGTAAAATGTACTTCAGTGGAATATAAGCATTATATAAGAATATGACAGGGAGAAATGTAAGAAAAGTTTACAATTAATTACATCAATTCATTACTCCAAAAAAAAAAAAAATTGTGGTTTATTTGAACTTACTCAATTTGGATTTTATTTATTAGTTTAGTTTATAAAATATGACAATATCAACATTATCTTTTATTTTTATGTTAAATCATTTCATTTAATAATGCAAGCAATTTATTCTAATACTAACTTTTTTGAGAGAAAATTATACTACTCACCTTTATAAGAGAAACATAAGAAATCTACATTTACTAATCCTATGTTTATTAAAGAAATTTTTTGCACAGCACCACCATCCAGACTTTTTCCCTCTATGTATGAAATAAAACAAATAATCTTTCTAAGAAATTAGCATCTGATAAGTCTATAATAAATTTGACTGTCCTCTGTGATTGGAATGTAAGCCATGATGTGCCAACAATCTGCATATTACATTCAAATACATGGATTAAGATGTCTATCATATGTTGTCTCAGGGAATAATACATATTTGTTGCCAGAAGTGTTAATCATGCTTATTCACATCACAAAACACTGTGGTGGTCCTGTGTTCTAGATGATTTTTCTGAAAACTTCCATTTCCACAGAATCTGAATTGAAATNGCTAAAGATATGATCATATCCTCTGACAATTAAATTATTTTTTTGCTGAGAAAATTTTACCACAAATAAATTTTGGAAAAATTTAATTTTTTACCCCCAAACTTTTCATCAAGTCTAGGCTCTCACACACACAACCAAAACAGGAAGCAAGCACTCTTCTAAATACTGGAGCTTAAGCAGCATGATGTTTCAGGCATGTTAAATTAATTAATTCATGTCTGCTTTGAAAATGGCTGCCTTCATTTATTATTATTTAAGATCTGATCATCAATCTACAAATATTTAATGAACTATTAATTAAGATCCTTAACTTACGAACAAATTTAGGTAAGAATTTTAATAATTAATTTCATAACTTTATAAAAGTTATTAGCGAGGTTGTGGCCAAAGTTTTCATCTCTAAAATGTGAACATTGAATGTCACTTACAAGATAGTGGTGCTTGATGTTCAACATTCACGTTTTAAAGATGAAAACTTTGGCCACAGCCTCACTATTAGTTATCAAAAGTCAACTTGGTACAACAATTCTACACCAAAAGATCCAGGAGGAGATCCAGGGGCAGAGCCTCTTGGACCTCTCACTGAGAGCATCACCTGATGAACCCCTTTAAAAGGAAGTTTTTCAGGTGACATCCCCAGTGGGAGGCCTCAGGTGTCCCATAAAATCATTATCTGGTCTGGCACTTTTTTGTTTATGAATATATCTCTGTCCATAACACATTGTCACATATATCCACTCCCAAAATTACACATATCCTTTTTAATTGTACTAAAGAATGGGGTAATGAACATTACATTATTTTACTAATTGCATGTATAACATACAAATCAGTGACAAACAGTAATGGTTTGCTATGCAACACTTCAGAAACAAAAATGAATCATTCTGTTATCCAAGGGTTAAGATCCTAGCATTAAATATTTTTGTAAACACCCCCAACCCCTTATAACATATCATAAAAATTACCTGCATACCCACATCTGCATTATGTAATTTATGGACAGCTCCTCTTACAGGAAATATTTTGTAAATTATTAATATATTATTTTTAAAAAATAAAAAACAAAATTGATTATATGATAAATTAAGATTTTTATAAAAGTATTAAGTTCTCTAAAATGACATGATGCCAATAGCTAATATACAGTATTTTTTTTTTCTAAGAATGTCTAACTAAAAAATGCTGTATTTATATCATCTGAAAGTTAATTATTGATAAAACTTAAGAAATTAATTTAGAATAATTTAATTTAAACTTATAAGATGAGACACTTCTATGGCATTTGAACTGTCAGAAATTCCACTATTTGTAATGTTTACCATTATATCTCCAGATATTTCCAGCTCTTGGACTTTCTGTGAAGAATTTCTTTGTGCCGAAATCTGCAGAACTCTCTAGTCCCAATTGCAGATGCATCTGAGGATCATATAAAACAGTAAAAGAATAATTAGTAAAATGTACTTCAGTGGAATATAAGCATTATATAAGAATATGACAGGGAGAAATGTAAGAAAAGTTTACAATTAATTACATCAATTCATTACTCCAAAAAAAAAAAAAATTGTGGTTTATTTGAACTTACTCAATTTGGATTTTATTTATTAGTTTAGTTTATAAAATATGACAATATCAACATTATCTTTTATTTTTATGTTAAATCATTTCATTTAATAATGCAAGCAATTTATTCTAATACTAACTTTTTTGAGAGAAAATTATACTACTCACCTTTATAAGAGAAACATAAGAAATCTACATTTACTAATCCTATGTTTATTAAAGAAATTTTTTGCACAGCACCACCATCCAGACTTTTTCCCTCTATGTATGAAATAAAACAAATAATCTTTCTAAGAAATTAGCATCTGATAAGTCTATAATAAATTTGACTGTCCTCTGTGATTGGAATGTAAGCCATGATGTGCCAACAATCTGCATATTACATTCAAATACATGGATTAAGATGTCTATCATATGTTGTCTCAGGGAATAATACATATTTGTTGCCAGAAGTGTTAATCATGCTTATTCACATCACAAAACACTGTGGTGGTCCTGTGTTCTAGATGATTTTTCTGAAAACTTCCATTTCCACAGAATCTGAATTGAAATGTTTATCCACAGGAGCATTAGAGAAAAATGATAATAAGATCAATGAAATATTCAATTGATAGGATAACTAAGAGGACATGATTTCAATATCCAGACAGTTTTTACTTCATTAGTTTATCTCAAAATTATTTTTAGAAATGTTAGAAATTATTCTGGCTGACTATTGACATTGCAAAAGAAAATGAAATTCCCTTTCAATGTCATTTTAACACATGCAATCCAGATTTGGAGACAAACAGGCAAGAAGTGGACAGCCCTCGCCTACATGTGATAAGTTAATAAATTATCTTTAGATAATTTGTTAACTTTCTGACTTTCAAGAAGTGTTAGACAACATCCAAAATTGAAATAGTCAATAGAAATTACACCAGAAACGTATCCAGGATTGCAAATATCCTAACTTCTCTTTGGATAAATGATGAAAACAATACAGAAATGACTGGAGAAGATTGATGTATTATGAAATTATAGATTTCATCACCATAAAGCTCAGAATGTCAAGAAAACCAAAAAAAGACAGAACCCACAAAATGAAGCAAATTTTTAGTGAATTAGACTTGCATTCTGAAAGAACTAAAGCTTTTCCACTAAAACTTGACCAAGACATTAACTATCAAATATAAATAACTACTGGATTTGTCTTTTTGCCCAATTGAGATGTATATTAATGGAAATAATCGCTTTTCATCAAACAATTGCAATTTTATATTTTGATTACATAACTTATGACCAATTCCAACTTTTAATTGCTTATTTTGCATCCTGTATTTCTGGCAGTCCAGACCATTAACACATTATTGTATATTCTTATATAATAATTATTAGCGTATAAATTTATTTAATTAAATTTTGTTATAATTTTATACTTGGTATAAAATTCTTATTTTCTTCATTTTTGAATGTTTGCAACTGAAAACAATATTGGTGATGTATTTTCTGATATTAAGATATAAAATAAAGTGATAATTCAGACATTATTTGTAATGGTGACAATTTAAATATTACCAGTAACAATGTAAACTATATGCAGTGTGGAACTTCATTTGTTAAATACAGTAGAGCATCGTTTATCTGAATCAATTGGAAACTGGGGTTGTTCAGATAACTTATTTTTCAGATAACAGATTATGTACAAAAAAATATATTAACCTATTCCATGTTTAAATTTTTCTCCATTGTGTGTCGCTTCGCATTGAATGTTCATTGATGTTAAGCCTAACGTATATTTTTTAATATAATAATCATGGCTATTGTATTGTGAAAAATGATTTCTTTAGTTTGTACAAACAAAATAAATATATTGAAAAATATAAAAACAAAAAATTATATTTTGGAAGTTAATCTAGCATCAAAAACATTCAATTCAGCACAGTCCAATTGGAATGCTTTCAGTTGATCAGCTTTCAAATAAACGATGCTCTACTGTACTGTATTGAGTTTGCTATTATTATAGCACCATGTATTACAGTGGCTGGTGTGCACCAACCTTAATGATTCAATTATATACTAAAAGTGAATTTTAATACACATTAACACCATTCCTACATATTTTCTTTAATCTGTTTAGCAATCACATGAAAGGCCATACACCAACACAAAACTATTCTATGATACTGAAGTCTTGAGTTAACTAATGAATTCACTTTAATTGTTAGTAAGAATCATTTTGCTTTCTTGTAATTTAAAATCAAATAAATTTTCCAAAATACTAGTTAATTCCTTTTATTAAATAAATTATTACTTAATTAATTAATAGTGCACAAATGATACTATACTTTTAACATACTGCAGAATGTCTACTCATAGCCAAAAATCTTTGATGAATAAATAAATAATTGTTGCTGGAACAGGTTAGAACTCTAAAACTTAAACTAGTTAGAACTACTTTACTCCAGTTTAAGGCTTATTAAACTGTAGATATTTGTTAATTTTCAGAGGATGTTGGACTAACTAATAGTTTGCAATTGTCCAATAATAATCTGGCATACTAGTATTTTTGGGCTACAATTTGAAAAATTGTGGAGCTGTAAATTCCCACTGTTGACCATCTGTCCATCCTTAATCTTGAGAATGGTGTTAGATAGATGAAAGTCAGACCAGATATGAAAGCTTAGGGGCAGCTTAGGCCCAGATTAACTATGTATGAACTTCTGCTTTGTATATATTGAAATTTGTATGAAAATGTGATGTGCCAAAGACTTCTGGTCGAAATTAAGGTAAAGGTGGGGGTGAAGATGTGCACATTGTTACACATCAGGAGGTTAACCATGGATCAGAGATAAATAATGCAATTTTGGTATAAGACTTTGTGTAAGGTAGTACATTGTCACACATTTTATACCAACTGCACTGGTACAAAATGTACAGTAACATCTGCAAGTTTAGACTGCATGTAACTTATTTAATTTTGCAAATATGCAAAAATGTTGATAATCCAACACCATTCTGATGTCATAGATGATTTATATCAATAGTGCGTAGAAGTTTGTTAATTTTATAATCTAGAAACAAAAGCCTACAGTAAGACCTGAATCTAAACTTGTATACTGGATTTGTGAGTGAATAAATATGAAATATAGCATTGAACAGTCAAAAATTAAATGATTTGCAAATATGTATAAAAATAAACAACAAATAAATATTGCATAATTGTTTATATCTGTGATTAATTTGATTGGACATCTGTAATTATAGTTGAAAACATGATTTACATACCTATCTGTTATTATGAACGATCTTAAAGCAGCTATCTTAAAGAAAGCTCAATATATAAACAGTAAATATAACATGTTACAAAATTAAAAAGAATCATATCAATTAAATATGTTGACAGATTATGAAATAAGGTAACTTACTAGAATAAATATGCTGACAATTTATTTAAATTTTATATTTTTTCAAAATTTATCAAAATATATGATATACGAACTTACATTAATGCAGAAAATACATTAAGACACTGATTTTTGTTTATGAAGTAGAATTACTCAAACCTGATTTTGTTTTAATTGAAATATCATCATTAATTAACACAAATACAGAATAAATTCTTTCTAAAAAAAATCATAATAATAATTAAAATTTAATGCAAATTCATCAATTTATTTTCCTTAAGTCATTTTGTTAATTTTATATACATTTTCAAAAAATTACAAAAAATTTTTTATTTAAAATGAATACTAAAAAGTTTAAATATTTTATAACAAAGTTATAAAAAAAAGTAATTCTGACTTAATCTTGTCTTTTTGTTTCATTATTAAATGCACAATTCACTTGCAAAATTAACATTCTGGTAATTTTTAACAACATCCCATAAATGGAATATTGCAATATCAGAGCGCCAAAACCTTTGTAAAGCCCAGCGGCACCCTCTTCTTGTACAATTGTATGGAAGCAGTCAAACACGCCCTGATAGGTTGAGATGACTGGTGTAACTGAAGTTCCGGTGTCAAGATTATCAATAATAGTTCTTGTCCCTTGCAAGTATAACCTAAATAAAGAAAAATATATTGATATTTACTTTCTAAAGACAATATTTATAGTTCTATGAAAGAATTTTAATATCTAAAAATTTCACACTTTAAAAATTTGAAGAAATAAAAATTATGATTATTTCTATACTAAAATTGAAAAGTTTTGTTATTTCATTAACATCAGTTACATATAATGCTAACAGGAGTACTTTGTCAGCAGTGCATTACACTAATCAAGTCAAGACTTGTTAATATAAGATAAGGATTTGCTTTTATATATGAATGCTCTAGAAGTTCCCCCCAACAAATGAATAAAGAATTTTTACTGTGTGTACTTTTGCAAATTTTTTTGGGAGTTATTCTAGTAATTTTGGTATATTTTGTTCCCGTAAAAACTATCCAGTCATTTCCTCCAACAGTTTATATGTTGGAGTTATATAACAAAGTACAGTTGACCCCCCATAACACTGTTGATAGTTCCGTTTTATATGAATTCCATATTGTATGAGTCACTCAGATTTTACAAATACATGTGCCAGGCTGTGAATGGCACATGTATTTGTAAAATCTAAGTGACTCGTACAACATGGAATTCATATAAAACGGAATTATCAACAGTGTTATGGGGGGGGAGTCGAATCTACACTTCATAAATTTGGCATTCTATAAAAAAGGAAAAATATTAAATATTGTTAATTCTAATTCAAATAGAAAGTGAAACAAATTGATGCAAATTTAAAATAGTGAAATAAATAAAAAACATTATATTTATTTAATTTGTCTTAACACTTTTCTTTTGAAAATGATTCTAATTCTACACAAAAAATATTTTATTAATGGCAAGTAATAACGTTCTAAATCATCATTAAAATGGCTTAAATTTTTAATGTTAGCTTTAAAAAGCAATTTATAATTATTCTACAAGTCACTTTTAATTTAAGTATCACTTTTCATCATAATAAAAATTTTAATAGCAGTTCATATTTTGGACAAAATAATAATCTGATTTTGGAATAAATAAATAAGTTTTCCAATTGCATTTTATTTAAAAAAATTAAAAAATCATCACAAAATTTTGTGATTGTTTACTAAAAAAAATAATAAAGTTATAAATCGAAAATTCAATACTCCTGTCATTAATGAAATATATACTGTAGGCTAAATTTTAAAATTCTAATATAAAAGTTAATACTATAATAAAATTTATAATGTAGAAGAGCAGAGTCATTTACAAACAAAATAAAAAAAATAATAATAAATATTGTTTATCAATTATGTATATTTTTCTTAGCAATTTTTAAACTTTTAAATAATAGAAGAAAATAGATGATGGAATCAAGATTATTTCTTGGCTCATACAATGGAAATTAAATTATTATTGGTTGATGATGATAAAGTTGACAAGTAATTTCATAAATATACTAAAAATTATATTGAATAGCACTGTATTGAAATAATCCTAATTTCATAAAAATTTTTTATAATATATTATAAAAAAAAAGAATCATCAATACCAGAGTGACGATAATGACTATTATTAAGAAGCAATTTAAAGTTTGTAAATTAAAAATCAACCTGTATATATGAAGTTTTGATAGATACAGGAAATCCTTGTTAGTTCAAAATTCAAGTGACAAAATAATCAAGACTTCAAATTATCCGCAATTACATATTTCTTGTACAATATGCCAAATGCTGTTTTCATTAATTATTAATTAATAATAGTAAAAATATAAATAAACTGCAGGTAAACAGCACATGTCTGGCAAGAACCATGCAAGATTGATTCATTAATTATTAATTTTATAAAAACTATCTGGCAACCTGGTGAGGTTGCCAGATAGTTTTTATAAAATGTAAAGCAGAATTCCTCAAAATGTCCACTTTAAAAATAATTTGGGCTACAAACTAGTAGTATGTCACGCAAATGCAGTAGCCTAAAGAACTCATTGTAGATGGCATTTCTTACCAATTAAAACACACTCAGAACACCTTTTAAATGTGCAGCCATATTTATTAAATTCTAACATTTTTGGTCATATTTAATGACCTTTATCAAGAATAAAAACAGAAAAAAATTAAACTGTGAAAATTTGATTTAACGATACATGTGTTTTGGAACGTTTTTAAAAGGATATTCTATGGGAATAAAGAGTGTCATCTCTACATAAAGGCTGTCATCATATAACCACAGTAGCTATTAGAACGTTAAAAAATAATATGACATTCAACTTATAAAATAACCGTAAAAATGAAAATAACAATAAAAAAATACAAACAGACAAAGTACCAAACATAAAGAATGTGTTGATCAAATACATTAACTTAAGGGTAGAACCCTTAAGTATGTTGCCGCTTTGATAACATTCTTGATGCTTAAAATATGCTTGATCACCAGGCTGCTGATACTTTACTTTACGAAAAAAATCGGGTTGTACATAGGCTTTCTATAGACTTTAGGAAAAAACTCCCCTTTGCTGTCAAGTTGTAAAGTCTATAGAAAGCCTATGTACAACCCGATTTTTTTCCCATGGAATTTGCACAACCCACCAACGTATAAACTAGCCGCATTCTGGGCACTCATCGCATGAGCTTACTCACATTGCAGCAGTACCCAAGACAGAAACAAAGAGCTGTGTTATATCAATAAACTAGCTAAGAGGTATGGGGTTAATATTAAGTTAATAGCCAAGTTAAGACACACAGCACGTTGTGAAATTTACAAAATACAGAAGAGTTCACACTGATGGAATATAAGGCCTCACTGAGCAGCATCTATAGGCAAATAGGAGCCACTACAAACAAAAGAATAATATATAAAAGGAACGGACGATAATTTATTTTAATCACAAAAGACACAGTCTGTCCAAAAATTATTTTTTGAAACCACCATTTATTCTGATCATGTGTTCCAGAACACCATCAACAACCCAACCTTTCTTTGTAGGCTACTAGGTCATCAGGCTAAAACATTCTTTTAAAAAACACACAAAAATATCCAATTAAAACATTAAAAGTAAAGAATTGGAACTGGCGGCCTTACAGACGTCTTGAACTTGCATCCTTTCCAGTTAGGGAATTTCAGTCCTTTTTTACAAGTAATTCATCACCAGAGGGATAAGGCCAAAATTTACATTTAACAGCGCATTTATCAAGTGAATATAAAGGCTACAAAGAAAGGTCGGGTTGTCAATGGTGTTCTGGAACACATGATCAGAATAAATGGTGGTTTCAAAAAATAATTTTTGGACAGACTGTCTTTTGTGATTAAAATAAATTATCATCCGGCAAAATTCTAAAAACAAAACTTTTTTACAAATATAAAAGGAATTCTACTATTTACCAATTGCTAAGGGCAGACAAAAATGCCTTGGACAAGAACTCTCTTCCAGGAGTCTACAGAATCCCTGTTACAGAGACACGGTTGCAGAATAAGATGTTCTACATCGGAGCCACCGGAAGATCCTTCAAGGAAAGGCTGTAAGAACACCAGAGAAACATAAGACGTGAACAGCCGTGCACAGCGCTGGCAACTTACATCTTAGCTGACCCCCAAGAGGTCAAAGCTAAATGGGACCATGCAAGATTGATACAAATAGTTTGCGACAAAAAGCACCTCCTGGTACGCTGAAGCCTGGCATATCTGCAAAACCAGCCAAAAAAGACTAGCTATCAACTTCCAAGATGCAAGCAAACTATCGGCAGCCTGGTGATCAAGCATATTTTAAGCGTAAAGAATGGTAGCAAAGCGGCAACATACTTAAGTTAATGTATTTGATCAACACATTCTTTATGTTTGGTACTTTATGTCTGTTTGTATTTTTTTATTGTTATTTTTACTGTTATTTTATATCTTGAATGTCATATTATTTTTTAACATTCTAATAGCTACTGTGCTTATATAATGACAGCCTTTATTCCCATAGAATATCCTTTTAAAAATGTTCCAAAACTCATGTATCGTTAATTCAAATTTTCTCAGAGTTCAATTTTTTCTGTTTTTATTCTTGATAAATGTCATTAAATATGACTGAAAACATTAGAATTTAATAAATACAGCTGCACATTTAAAAGGTGTTCTAAGTGTGTTTAATTGGTAGCCTAAAGTCCTACAAATATCTCAATCTGTTACTTGTAGCTCAATTTTGCAATCCCAAAAACCAGCTGTGTTTTACGAGATAAAAGAGAGTTGTCCATGGGTAAGATGACATCTGAAAATGTGTTACTGTAACAGGAAAATCATATTGACCAAATTAGAGTTGTTCTTGGTCTTTTATTCTCTTATAGCATGGAAGCACTTTAATTTAAATGAATGAGTTAATGCAGGCACATCACAGTTTGGGCAGAATTTTCATTTCGAGTTACATAGTAGCCATACAGTAGAGCATCGATTATCTGACTCAATTGGGAACTGGGGTTGGTCGGATAACTGAAAAAACGGATAACCGAAAAGTATGAAAAAATACATTATTAGTATAGTATATTATTATATCTCACGTAATTAGTATATCGCTATTAACCTACTTTACGTTGAATTTTCATTGATGTTAAGCCTAACAAAATTTTTTTAAAATAATAATCGTCGTTATTTTGTCGTTAAAAATTATTTTTAAATTGTTTTATTGCTTACAAAACAAACAACCACTCATAATTAGAAAATTAAGCCTCGTTTAAATACTGGCATCCCTTTCATGGTCGAGCTAGTGTTGCCAGCTAAAACACCAAAAATTTAACGAAAATAATATTAAAGTTGCCAAGACAGCCAAATATTATAGCACTGCATCACCAGTGAACATTTGAATTTGCTGACTAGAATGCAGTCAGTTAACCAATGTGACAGTTGATTGGGGGTCAGATAATCGATGCTCTACTGTATTTCAAACTAATCAAATTCCTGAACACACAAACTTCTATATCCCTGGCCAAGACAAAAGTACAGTTATGAACTAACAGGATTTCGAACTGAGTTCAAATCAAATGAAGATTTCCTGTACTCATAAATTAAATTTTGTTGTTTAAATTCTGACAGTTTGTATTTTGACTATTTATTATGTAACTTATTCTAATCTTTGTTTCAGCAATTTTTTTAATTATAATTAAAAGTTACTCTCAATTATATTTGAGTTTATTTCTTAAAAATCTTTCAACAAGTCAAAAATCTTCTATTTAAAAAACAAATAAATTTTCTTAATTAAAATTATCTGTGTAATTTGTGTTAAAACCATCTGGTTAAATAAAAATGCATTTTGAATGTACCTGAAAGTTTTTAGAACATTTGTAGTGCTTTGCAACTACGTATTTTTGTGTTTCATTCTTTCCCTCGACCCCTTTGTTTTCATTCATGATACCTCCTTTTTCCAGTTCACATTATGTTGGCAACTGGATTGGCCAGCAGAGGTCACATGGGGGAGGATATCTGCTTGGCTTGGTATAAAAGGTCATGATTCGCATGTGGAAGGAACCTTTTTTCCCCCCGTTGCTTTGTTCTGGTTACCTGTGAACAATAAGAGATTGAGGTGGCGAGCATGAGAGAACTAAGGGAAGAGGCCGATGGGACAGAAATCCATTTCCATCCAACCAAGGACACTTTAATGTCAATATAGAACATACTCAAGGAAAAGAAGATCGGTGGGAGATTCGCCCGAATGTATTAGTTTTCTTTTCCATTATTTATATGTGGTAAAAAAAGTGTCGTGAGTAAGTTTATTTTTTATGTTGTGTTACACACCTTTTGATTTTTTGTCACATGCTGTGAGCCCCTGAAAGGAGAGGATGAAAGAGAGAGGAATGTGAAAACATGTGAAATATTATATTGTTATTAGATGTGCATTGGAAATTGTCAATCGCGTGATAGTTTACGTTCTATGTATATATTGTGATTTGTCAACAGGAAAGGATTAAAAGCCTAGTATATTTGTCAAGCTGACTTGTCTTTTTTTTTTTTTGTCTAGTCCTGCAGACCTCGTTCTAAGAGGCATTCTACACATTCCTCTTCAGTTTTTCCAGTGTACTAAAATTTTAAATATATAAATGTCTGTGTTGTGGACAAATTAATCTTCATAATCAATACCTTTTTATTCTCTCTTTATTGAAAGATTAAGAAATAAACTCAAATATAATTGAAAGTGTAATTTTAATTATGTAAATTATTATAATGAAAAGAATAAACTCTTCTGTATTCAAAAAATATTTATTTAATAACTTTAAGTTAGAATTTAATGAAATAAATATAATTTTATTTAAATAAATTTTTTTAGTAATATTAAAAATATATAAATACCTGTGAAGAACTGTTTCTGATGGATATAAAACCACATCTGCAACAAGATTCCCAGCAAAAGCTGCAGTGATTTGACACATTTGTTGATCAACTGTGTAAAATCCTCCTTTATTAGCTATTCCTAACTAAACAAACAAACACAAATTAAAATCTAAAAGATTTAAGAATATATATATATATATACAGTGGTGATATTCGAAATATTTAACAAAGGGTTCGCTAACAGAAAATGTTTCCTAAGCCCCAAGCCCGAGATATCTCGGGCAAGTTACATAGCGTTAATAAAACACGGGCGTTTGGACCCCCTAAAAATGTTTTGTTTTTTTTTTATTTTTGAAATGTTTTTTAAGTCTCCAAATTTTTTCAAAATTTTTTTCCCGTGCGAAAAAATTTTATCGCGATTTTAATTTACCTTTAATGACGCACGATTCACCCTTAATTGCTTTTTAATTGTTTTTTAATGGGAGTTTGATATCAAATTTCATTCATCGTTCTAAAGTTGTAGCGCACGGATTTTACTTCGGTAAAGTTATTTAAAGCTAGTTTCTGATGTCAAAAACGACCTCCGATAGTTTCTAAATTTTTTTAATTAATAGATTTTATTATATATAAGTTTAATTAAGTCGGGGGGTCGGAAATCGCAATAAAAATTTTAATTTTTTAAAAATATTTAAAAATATACGGCCAACTAGTATTCACCCTACTATAAACCTATCGCCTCCCGAGACTTCTATGAGAATGTCCCGGAAAATCGGACTCCAGCTGTGTTCAAGGTCATCCAGCTGTTTAAACAATGACTCATCAGCGTAAGATTTCACAGAAAGACGAGACAAAGGAAAATAAAATCTGAAGCTTTTTCTTCAAAATTAACGCATTTCTTTCGTTTTTTCAGTTTTAAGTATTTTTTATGTTTAATTACATTAATATCAAAAATTGCTAGAGTCCCAAGGAGTTAACTGCTTTCCCTATGACTTTTTCTCAAGAAAAAACTTTTCTAAATCATTTATTTTATCATTAGGTATTATTATAATAATAGACAGATGTCATCGTTTCTCAAGATACAATATCTTTTTTATTTCGCTGTCGATAGCCCAACACGTGTTCCGCAGCCATCTTGTATTTTCTCGCGCGCGTGGGATTGTGGGATCTCTCGTATGACTGGACCTAGTTTCAAGAACTCTCGAGTCGATCGCGATTAAATCTCATTTCAGTCGAGATTGAAACGGTCGATGGATGTTGCACCATGGCGAACGGGGTATAAGGCTCTAGTTTAGTAGTGTTACAGAGTATAATACGTATTTTTTAATATATTTTTTAAAAGAAACAAAACCACCGAGAAATGTTACGTGTGTTTAACAACGGGTTCGGAAAACTTTGAAAATGTTAACAACGGGTTCGGCCGAACCTGTGCGAACCCGCTGAATATCACCACTGTATATATATATATTTTAATTTGATTCTGATGAAACCGTGTTGTTGTTATTAAGCTGTTTCTTTGCAGACACACTAAGGTGACATATATCAACACTTGTTGCCAAGTGTTGATATATGTCACCTTAGTGTGTCTGCAAAGAAACAAATATATTTTAATTTTAAATAAAACTCATGGTTTCATTTATTTGTTGTTGAAAGGTTATAGTTAATCCCAATATAGCAGAAATATTCATAGTAACAATAATAAAATGTTGAGAACAGGAATGGCTAAGAAATTAACAAAGGTAAAACTAATACATGAAATCTGGTCCAGACAGCAGATGGAAAGGATCTGTTTTATAAGATTTGCATCTGACCTTATTGGTAACAAAATAGAACAGAGTATGAAGAGTTTCTCTGCTATGATACAAGGCAAATATGCAATTTAGAATGATTATAATTGCCAAAAGTGTGACTGAAAGCTTTTCTGATAGTTCCAACTTAAGAATTACCTGAAGTCTGTTTTAACACAAATATAAAATTTATTTGTTCTATAAACAATGACTAGGAATATGCTCATTTTCAAGATATAAATGGGCTATAGAACTCATACATAAAAGAAATTTCTTTATTATATATTATGCAGTTGGAAAAAAAAAACTGTCTGCATAATTTTACAAAACAGACTAATAGAACACAAGAAAAACCTAAATAATTAATTTTAAAACAATCTCCAGGAAAAGTATTCACTGTAAGGTAACATACCTAGTACTATCACGTCATTATATAAACTTGTAATAATACATCTAGATGAAAAGTCAAACTTACTTCTGTTTATTAAAACATGTCTTTGAAATGCATTAATAATTCTCAAAAACATGAGTAAAATATTTAATAAAAGTATTTTAAGTTTGAATTATGATATTTATATGCTTTGTAATATATTTTTACTCTAACAGAACACACTATTTTTCATTCTAAAAACATTACGTTTCCAAAATATTACCTTTTATTAAAACATTAATTTATTATCAATGTAAAATGATAAAAAAATTACATACCAAATCTTTATACAATTTATAAGTTTCTTTTTTTGTATTTTAGTCTTGTTTTTAATGCTTTCTTAATTTATAAGAGAGGGGTGTTACTTTTTAAAATCAAATTACATCAAAATATTTATCAATTTTCTATGATGCATTAAGTGTTTTTCCCTATTTATTTTAAACCATCATCTCAACTTCATTATGAATTATGTTGCTTATATAAAATACAGGGCTGTGGAGTCGTGTAAAAATCTACCGACTCCAACTCCAACTTTTCCTTACCATCCGACTCCGACTCCGTTTCATATACATAACAAGTTAATTTAGTATCAAAAACGTAAAATATTTGAGTAGCCCAAGACATAGTCAAAGATTGCAGCACCACAGCACTGGTGAAAATTTAAATTTGCCGACTGGAATTCTTTCGGATAATTGACGTTTTGGATAATTGACTTTCGGATAATTGACACTCTACTGTATATAATTATCACAGTAAAATAAGTCCCACTAAATTAGAAATTTATAATTTAATTAATTCAACATTAAAATTACAAGAAATTACATTGGATGATTTTATAGCAGTAATTCCAATGACTAAATCTAAATACCCAACTATTAAGTTAATTTTTAAAAATACTAAGATTCGAGATTACATATATTCCAGTTTTATTAAAATGAAACAGCAAAATTTATTGAATGAATGGAAAGATACTCAAATTGCACAGGACCTTACCAAGAGATCTAGATTACGACGCAAACAATTACTTCCTTTTTTATATGAATTAAGAAAAAAGGTAAAAATCCTAAATTTTGCGGTAATTGTATATTATTGGGTCAATACTCCTTGACTTATAGCAATGTCTTGGAGGGTTTGGTATTTACTGATTCCTTTAATCCTTTTTTTATATCTAAAACTAAACCACAATGACTTACAGCCAATCAGAGTTATTCTCTTAAAGATTCATATGCTATGGTTACTCAACCGATGAGCTCTTTATCGGACATATATGATAAATCTGAAAGTTTACATCATAAAGTCTACAATCAAAAAGATTCCCATTTTGTAATTATTAACTGGAACTGCCAAGTCTTTCACAGAAAATTTTTACTAGTGAATTTATATTTTTGTTGGAAAGATATACTTGCCATTATAGAAATGTGGATGACCTCATTTTCTGATTCACAGATTAAAGACAATGAAAATAACAATGAGATTATATTGTTACGCAATTGGCTCAAAAACCAACAGGACCAGGTCGTCCTTTTGGTGGTCTAAATTTATTTATAAAAAAAAACTGGGAGAAATTATATTCATTCAGAAAAGTAATAATTATATAATTGTGCATCTATTAATTAATAAATTAGAAATAGCTACCTTGAAAAATAAAATCTTAGTACTAATACTGACATATGTTCCTCCAGAGCAACAGCAAATACTACATGAAATATTTCGTCAATATGAAAATTTGAAAAATACCTTTCCTTACATTATTATTATTGGTGACTTAAATGCCCGCATTACACAGTCTATCGATTTGCAATATAAAGAACTGAACACAAAAATTCAAAATACAGTAGAACCTCGATTATCCGAACTAATTGGGGATGAAGGTAGTCCGGATAAGGAAAAATCCGGATAATTGAAACAAATACTTTAATTTGTCTTTTAATGATAATACAACACGTTTTCTTTTCGATGACATATCGGCAATATTAAAAGTAAATACTGTATTTAAATCGTGATCAAATTTTCAAGAAACAAACGTTCATATTGAATTTGGACTACTACTGACCGACGCTAACAGACTACCTATTGTTTAAAAGGCCCTCTGATGGCGCAAGAAGACGGATTTTATAAAATAAAAAGCAGTTGAAACTGCATTTTTATGAATAAAAATTTGACAAAGTATTTATCGTTTTATGAGGAGTAAAATGTTTTCGTCGCGTTCGCGGCTTTTAAGTAATGCATAAACCTTCGAGGCGCGAGGCCCTTCTGACCGCGAGGCATAGGCGGTGGCCCACGTCGTCCATGCCTTACGCCGCCCTTGGTCATAGAAATGATGTAATTTGAATATAAATATTTATAAATACGTATGTCAAGTTATATTTTTATTATTACGTAAAATATATATAAGAGTTTACGACCACTGTGCTGGGTGAGACGTTGTTGAAACAAAAAAAGTTATGCATTCCATCACGTACATAAACACTGTCGTAATTCGCCAAGTGCAAATCAGCAAATTCGTAAAATTTTTGTTTATTTTGAACAATCCGGATAATCGAAAATCCGGATAATGGAGGTCCGGATAATGGAGGTTCTACTGTATTCGTAAATCCAAGGATGTTAAGCAGAATAAAATGGGTAACTATCTTCTAAAACTAACGATGCAGGCTCAATTATATATTCTTAATGGAAGAATTGAAAGGGATTGTCCATCTGATTTTACTTGTGTAACTACTACTGGTAGCTCAACAATTGATTTAAGTAATATGTTCGGAACTTTTGGTAAACTTATGTTCAGAAATTCAAGTCTTAAACTGTGACTCATCAGACCATTTCCCTGTTAGATCTTACTTCAGATCGAAAGATAATTATCATAGGAATTATATAAAAAGTTTTTAGTGGCGTTTTTCACCAATAGGAACCAGGGCTTCTATGAGATAGGAATTATGAAATTACCTTTAAAATGGCAACAAATTATAAAACAAAACGGTGCATATTTGACCCAAGTCGGACAATCCAAACCATGTTAAATAAAGTCTTGAAATAAACGTAAAAATAATGAATTTCTTTTTCCCCAACCCAATATAATCATAAAGTGATAATATTTTTTTTTCACACTTTCAATCAATAAAAAAAAAAATGTATTGGAAAGTGAAGATTTAAAAGTATAATCACAACAGCATTATTAATGCGTGACACTAATTGCAAAAACAAATTCCCTAAATTTCAATTTCTCTAAGAATTAAAAGATTCAGGCCTATGGCATGTTACATATGAATATATTTTCCATATTTGGCTAGAGAAACTACCTTTTAGTAGTTTTAACTTTTAAAATTTAATATTTTTGAATTATAAAAATATGTAAATGTTATGTTCATTTAATTTAAAATTTGTATTGAGAAGAATTAACTATATTTAATATAAATAATAAATATATATCATTTCAAATTATTATTTACCTTTTCTTGTCTCCTCTTCAAATTTACAGTTAATATCCAACTTAGAACAGATTTGACTAATGAGGAAATAGCATAATTTAAGATACCATGCAAAGCAGTAGGTACTATCAAAAACCATATTGGCAACATTCTTGCAGACTGTGGAGTTCCCCAACGAAAAACTCTGCATAATCCTTCTTTCAGACAGTCCAAAACACCAGGTTTTTCACTAGCAATTTCACTCTAATAAAACAGGAAAGAAAGTCTTTAGCTTTTAAAAAAGTTTTATATTTTAATTAGAAGAATATTAATAATGTTTGGAATATTTACATTAATTCAGATGTCATTTTTTAAAAATAAGTAAATTCAATATCCTACTAATATCAATATTTGTTTTGCTACCTACTCTATGTCATATATAATATGAAGTGTACGCACTTGAACTATTTCAACCAAACTTGAATAGAAAAATGGTGTTAGGAAAGCATATGTACATCTGAAATAATTAAACAGATTTTAAATCGTAAATATTTACGAAATGTTTTAAGATTTCATATTTTATAAATACCCTTTTAAAATCAAATGCTGCGACAGTTGCTTAAGGGAACTATGCCAAGTCACTTCTCTAGAAAATATTAAAATCAGTTTTGATTAATATAAATAAGCTCATTATTAAAACTATAATCACTTATTTAAAATGGTAAAACTCAACATGTTAAGTTTAAAGTGATTTTGAGAATTATATAAGGTTATCACCATTAGTAAAAAACTATACATTTTTCTGTATCAAAAACAGAAATTAAATTATTTATGATTTATAAATCTAAAATTTTACATATAAAAATTTATTATTAGATCTTCATCATAGCTAGTAATGAATTACAGAGAAAACAAATTTTTGTAATTAAATACTGGAAAGCAGTGCATAGAGGGGTAGGGAATCAATCACAATTTGTGATATTAGTGAAATGGAAAAAATTAAAAAAGACATCCAAAATTAATATTAACAAGCATTCATATCAATGAAAAGCAATTATCTTTTACAACTAAATGAATAAATTAATCCTATTAACTCTAATGAAACAACATTCAAATCATTAAAAAAGGTTCATATGCATATTTTTTAAAAAATAAAATATAAATTACCTGGGCAAAGATGTAACTTCTGATAATGCAGTTTCTGCAGCAACAGATAAACCACGAACAATAAAAATGCTTCCACCTCCTTTCCATAATGTACCAATTCCCTAATAATGTATCAATAAATAATCACAACCGAGTAGAAAACTTTAATATTTATTTTCATCTGCTAAATTAATAATAAATGCTTCGGTTTTTAAACATTTCTTCTTTCAAACAGACAAATAACACCTTATCTTTGCTGAGAAATATATTTGTTTCTTGGCAAAGATAAGGTGTTATTTTTTGTTAAGGTTTGGTGATTTGCTGAGTACTTTATAATAATTTCTTCTTTCATTGCATAATGGTGTTTATTGGAAGGAGGAATGTTTATATTAAGCAACGAATTAAGTCATACTTTAAACAGAAACAAAAAATTAAGTATACAAGCTAGGTAAATTTTTCTCTCTTAATTACACAACACTGGTATCGGTTGTGTTTGTGACTGAAGAAAATATTACATTATATATAAAATATAATTTGAACAAAAGAGGGGGGAAATCTGAATTATTAAGAATTTGAGTTACAGAAAACCAGTTTAATTTTCAAAAACAAGTAAGTTTTTAGTGTTTATCAGTGTTCTATATTCTTTGACAATATCACATTCTCTCTACATTCTTTTCCATTCCTTTAAATACTTCAGTTTTTTTTTATCCAGCTAACAACAAATTTATGTATGTTTCAAACTTAAAAATCATAAAATCAACTAAACAACTCATATCTAGACTTGAAAAGTCACTGAAACTGAAATGTAAAAATATTGACCCTATCTCATGGATTTACAGAATACATGCAGTTTGAAAAATCCCCAAAATGCACATCTATATATATAATCCATTCAACAGGTATCTGTCCATCTGTCCCGTAACCATTTGATAATGGACACTAGAGGCGCCCCTATCATGTGTCATATTTCAAACATTCAAATTAAATTAACAATTTTAATTATTATTTAAATTAACAATATAAATTATTATTATTCATTTGGCCAATAAATTATTATTTGGTCAATATAACAATATAAATAATTCAGTATATTTGTAATAGGAATTTATTGTCGTCACGGAATGCATGTAATGTTCACTAGAGGGCGAATAACGAAAAACCAGATAGGTTTGAATCACTACGTAAGACGATAAGGTTTGAAATAGTTAAGGTAATATAAGGTAATATTTTAATATCTATTAACCCATTCAACGGGTAATGGCAATTTGTAAATAACGCCCACTAGGGGGCATCCCAGGCTATTAGTCTATATATATAAAAATGAATGTATGTGTGTGTCCTTCATGCATTACCACACCGTTTATCCGATTGCCGTGAAACTTTGAGAAGTTGTTTAATATACTCCTGTGAAGGTTTCTAGCGTAGTACGATTGCCATAAAGCTTTGAAAAGTTTTTTAATACACTCCCGCGAAGGTTTCTGGCATTTATCCTACGATAGATAGCGTGCGTTAACACAAGCATTCGAGCAGTGTGTGTTCGATCGATTTCAAATTGTGAAGACCATTTCTCCCTCTTCAAAAACATTTTGAAGAACTTCTGACATTTCTTATATATAGTGTGAAAATATATAACAAAAAATAATCAACAGAAAAAAAAGGGAGCTTCAAGAAAAATATTGGAATAAATCATCACCAAGATTATCTAAAATGATTTTATAGTATTAAAATATAGATAAAAATTTAGTTTGTAACAAAGTATTACAATTTTTCTTTTAATTAAGAATTTAGGACTATGCATTGTATTAATATTTTCTGTTAATAAGTAAGTCTGTTTAACTAGAAATATTTCAAAAAATAGCCTATTTTATTATTTATCACCACCTTTCAGGTTAAACAAAAACTATAATATGAAAATTTAAAAAAATTATCATCTGATTTATATTGAAAGAAAACTTTTAAACAATATACTGTATCTATGTATCTATCTAAAGATCATTCTTTGTTAATATTTGCTTTTTGTCAATTTACTACTAAGTTATAGTAGACATATAATAATGAAGTAATAATTGAAAAAACTACAATTACAGCAGTGCCTTGTTATATTATGTCTCATTATATTATTCATTCAGATATATTTTGAAAGAAACTAGCAATGTAAAAAATACTTTAGCCAATAATTTTTAAAAAATCAGCTGCCATTGAATTTCTATTGGCAAAGAAATATTATCTTAATGAAACTGAAATACAACCTACAATAAAGTAAGCCAGGGCAGGAGATTTAAAACAGATAAAACAAGTAGATAGATATATTGGTTATATCTGATATATTGCTCATATGGTTTGTCTCCCAATATGCAAAATATAACAAGGAATTAACTTTACAAGAAAAGTAAAAAATTACATGAATTTGATTCAAATATTCAAGAGTGAATAATACATTAATTTGGTGAAATTCTTAAAAATCATCTGAAAAAATTAGAAAACATGCAAATTTTGAAGCTTTTGATAATTAGTTGAATTGCTTTAAATATAAACACAGTTTTATGCACACAATAAATGAAACATTTATAAATCAAGCTTCTCAATATTTGATTATTTCAGCAAATAAACTGTACAGTTATTATATATCAAATTAATTGGTATGGAAGCAAAGATTGATGGAGTTCCAGATAGCATAACTGGTAATATATCTGCACAATAAACAGAATTTGCAGATTTGAGTCCAACTCTGGCAAAACCTTTACTTTCAGAATATTCTAAATTATTGAAATTAATTCAAACACTAATATAATCATTAGTAAATCAAACAAAAACAAACTGGCACACACAAACTGAAACTATATACTAAACACACAAATTCACAACTAAATGCTAATTCCAGCAGTAAATGAACAAAAATAAACTTTAATGTTCAAACGTTTTCGGCCGTCTTTCAGAGGCTCTCGTCAGGAAAAATGCACACAACAGAAAAAACAGTTCTATTTTTTGAAAAGTTTTAGCTTTCGAAAATAGTTGTGTTCTAATTTTTAAACATTTAAATGCTTTTGAATACAAAGATCATTACGTATTACAACATATAAATAAATTAGTTTTTTTAACTAAAGCAGCAACAGATAAACCACGAACAATAAAAATGCTTCCACCTCCTTTCCATAATGTACCAATTCCCTAATAATGTATCAATAAATAATCACAACCGAGTAGAAAACTTTAATATTTATTTTCATCTGCTAAATTAATAATAAATGCTTCGGTTTTTAAACATTTCTTCTTTCAAACAGACNTAAATAAATTATTTTTTTTAACTAAAGGCTATAAATAAATTCGTTAATAATATAATATAATGGTGCTATAAAAGTTAGCCAATGTTTTAACATATAAACAATGTTCAATAAGGAAAATTGTTTCCTTTACATAGCCTAAAGCTAAATGCATAATTACGCATCAAAAATTATCATCATGCTTTGTGGCATTGTAAATAATACTTCCATGATTGTGGAACTGGAATACAGTCGGAGTTAATGCAACCTCCTTTCATGCTCATTATATAAATTTCAAGAGCCTCCAACAAACATAAGTCGTGTCGGTCAAAAGCCCTGTGTAAAAGAGTAGCTTCATCCCAACAAGGAGAAACCCTTTCTTGTCATTGGATTTGACTTTTGCATTAGATAAGAGCTGAAAAAGCACCAGGAATGTACTGCATTCCATTGCAAGATGAACATTTCAATAGACGTATAACATACATCAGATCCACGTACAGATCACTAGAAGCTAGAATAGGGAACCACAAATATGTGTCCAAGGGAAACCATAATACTGCACTAGCCCAGTATGCTACCAAACCTGTGGTTTCTCTTTGTTGAAATGAAGCTACTCTTTTACACAGGGCTTTTGACCGACACGACTTACATTTGTTGAAGGCTCTTGAAATTTATATAGCGAACATGAAAGGAGGTTGCATTAACTCCAACTATATTCCAGTTCCACAATCGTGGAAGTATTATTTATAATGCCTCAAAGCATGATGATAACTTTTGATGTGTAATTATGCATTTAGCTTTAGGCAATGTGAAGGAAACAATTTTCCTTATTGAACATCGTTTATATGTTAAAACATCGGCTAACTTTTACAACACCATTATATATTATTAATGAATTTATTTATAAATAAATTATTTTTTAACTAAAAGCTATATGTTGTAATAGGTAATGATTTTTGTATTCAAAAGTGTTTAAATGTTTAAAAATTAGAACACAGCTATTTTCGAAAGCTAAAACTTTCAAAAAATAGAACTGTTTTTTCTGTTTTATGCATTTTTCCTGATGAGGGTCTCTGAAAGATGGCCAAAAACGTTTGAACATTAATTAAAGTTTATTTTTGTTCATTTACTGCTGTAATTAGCACTTAGGTGTGAATTTGTGTGTTTAATTAATTAATTATTAGTAAAACATGATAATTAACTACCTTTAAATAAAATTACTTTGTATTTGTGTGTTTTTACGTGCATATGGAGAAATAAAATAACCATAAACACATGTCAAATAAGATTTTTTAATTTCTATAACAAATTATTTCAAATTATTTTTAGCTTTACTGAGTAGGGTAATATCCTAATTTCATTCAAAATTTTCAATAAATCAATAAAAAAGTATTATAAAGAAAAATATGACTTACTTGGCGACGTTCCAATTTGACCATTATTGGGAAGAGAGTAAATGGTGTTAAATGATAATACATTGACTTTCTATGAACCTATAAAAAAAATTATATTAAAAATTATTATTTTTTAATACAAATAAATATTAATGTAAGTTAAATATTAAAAATACTAACTATAAAATTATTATGGTAAATGCCCTGGGCTCCTTTCAGAGTTCTGAGTAGGGTGCCCCCCAATGAGCACCTCTGCCCCCAATAAAATGACTGTATTTAATTTTGCTGGAGTCAGGAGTCGTCCTACTAAAATTATCAAAAGTCGGAGTTGAGTGTTTTTTTACTGACTCAGTAGTCCTGCTACCAAATATGATGAAGGAAAATTAAATATAATATGCTGATACTAATTTATCACTGCATGTAACTGTGGCACACGAAACTTCAGTGATTAAATCAAAGAATTTCATAACAAAATTAGAAGAATTATCCTCAAACGGTTTATTTTCATTTACAGATTTAGATAAAATTTGCTTAAATACTTAATAACAAATTGTATGCTGTACTGAATTTACAATTCAATTTATAGACCAAATTGAACATTCAAATAAATCAAACCTGTACAAATTTTCTTTTATGCAAAAAGAAATTTGCATTTTAAATGTAGCAGAGAGAAAACTATTCAGATGAATGAGACATGTAAAATATAAATTATGTAACCATAAATTCATCTTACCTAACTGCATTAATTCCAATTGTAGTGACTTTCTGTATATTTTCTGAAAAAAAAAAAAAAATATATATATATATATTTTTTAATGACAAATTAAAATAAATAAATTGGAGTCATTTACAATTCTCTTTAACACAACTTATTTTAATCTGTTTCAATAAATCTGCCTTTTTAAATATCTTTATTTGATTTTAATTTTAAAAGAAAAAAAATTCCTTTTCTAGAAAATTGCTCTTTTCAAAAAATTTTTTTAAATTTGCAATTTAAAGTCGTATACACATTCAAGTAAATTTTAATTCTTGGCTGTTTTTATGATTTACTCGAATGCATTTAGCAACAATTGGTCTTTCATTCTGACTTTATCCTGTAATTGAAACACTTGGAGGAAATTTCATTCCAAATTTGATGATCTGTTTGTAATTGCATTCCTTCCAATTTCTTTCAATGCAGAATAGTTTCTGTATGGCATTTTGTGTATAAGATATAGGATCGCCTCTTTTAAATAATTTCAAGTTTNTATATATATTTTTTAATGACAAATTAAAATAAATAAATTGGAGTCATTTACAATTCTCTTTAACACAACTTATTTTAATCTGTTTCAATAAATCTGCCTTTTTAAATATCTTTATTTGATTTTAATTTTAAAAGAAAAAAAATTCCTTTTCTAGAAAATTGCTCTTTTCAAAAAATTTTTTTAAATTTGCAATTTAAAGTCGTATACACATTCAAGTAGATTTTAATTCTTGGCTGTTTTTATGATTTACTCGAATGCATTTAGCAACAATTGGTCTTTCATTCTGACTTTATCCTGTAATTGAAACACTTGGAGGAAATTTCATTCCAAATTTGATGATCTGTTTGTAATTGCATTCCTTCCAATTTCTTTCAATGCAGAATAGTTTTTGTATGTCATTTGATGTTAAACACCAAAATAGCTCTTGCTTTTAATTGAGAAAGCCAAATAAAAAATAAAATTTGTGTAAATAATATAAATTTATTATATTAATTGATTTATATTATTTTTACTGAAATCAATATTCATTTTTCCAAATGGATTGAAATTTTTTTACACAGAATTTTGGAAACATATCTACTATATGCTAAAAATATAAAAATGCTATAAAAATTTATAGTGAAAGCTACTACTATTTATCCCTTAGACAAGTCTAACAAGGAAAAAAAAAAATCTGGAAAAGACTTTGTCCATACCCCATAGAAGAGCATGGATAAAAATTTGTTCAAGTCTTTGAAAAATAAAATCCACTATGTGCCTGCCTACCTTATAATGGTACAAGACAAAGAAATAAGAATATAAAAATTTCTTGCCTTTCCTCCAGAGAAATGACAAGAAGATTGTCATGCATAATTAGACAACAATCAGTTAATGTGTCTTTGGATTTCAACCTATTCTGCTATAAATTATAAAGAAATTTATAACACCGGAGTAGATAAACTAACCCAACTTCACTGCCTGTAACAAGTCACATGTGACAACATTCCAGAAAGATTTTCCAAGCCAGCAGTTAATTTTCGACCGAAAATTCAAATTCAAATAGAGAATTCCATAGCATCTGAAGAAGAACCACATTAGGTTCAAACATGTTTGCATAGTCCTCTGTTTTCATTGGAGAAGCAGCACACCGGTTACATGCAGTGAAGTTGGGTTAGTCTATTCTGCTATTTCTACTCATTGGCTCACTAGCAATTGTCTTCATATTAATATAGGATATCTTGACTTACTTTTTTTGCATACAGCTGAATTATATATAATAATTTTTGGGCTAAATAAACAAGCTGTTAAGGAAGATTGTTTTCTCAAAAGGTGTTCCTCTCATATATTTTGGTATGAGAGAGTGTTTTTGACTACAAAAGAAATTTGAATTAAAATCTGTTTATTTAGATCATAATTGGCATTAAAATTCGATTTTAATTTTTATACATTTTCCAAGATTGAAGGCAATCAATTATAAAAACTTAATGAGAAAAAACATTCATGTGCTGAATTATTTTTTACATTATATTTCTTTATAAAATTCCAATTTAATGCAAATAAAAAAGTAATCTCACATGACATAATACTTGTGGTGACATTAAATATTTCAATGCAAATTGTGCAATAAATAAATGCAATTCATTTATTGATGTCATTTTTTTTTTTNTAAATCGTAAATATTTACGAAATGTTTTAAGATTTCATATTTTATAAATACCCTTTTAAAATCAAATGCTGCGACAGTTGCTTAAGGGAACTATGCCAAGTCACTTCTCTAGAAAATATTAAAATCAGTTTTGATTAATATAAATAAGCTCATTATTAAAACTATAATCACTTATTTAAAATGGTAAAACTCAACCCAGAGCAACAGCTAATACTACATGAAATATTTCATCAATATGAAAATTTGAAAAATACCTTTCCTTACATTATTATTATTATTATTTATTATTTAATAGTTTACAAATCACAATCCTGTATACTGTTTAAACAGTATACAGAATTATTATTTAATAGTTCGCAAATCACAATCCTGTATACTGTTTAAACAGTATATATACAAACGTACACATATACATACATTTAATGGAAATCATCATTTCCCCTAAAGGAGATCAGTCTTTCCTTGCACTGCTTTCACATAATGGGGAGGTCATTATCTATCAATTTAATGTATAAATATTCTGCTAAATTTTGAGCTGTTTTAAAATATTCAACTGCAATATGTACTGCATCAGATTCTTCCAGCCAGGAGTTATCTATATCACATAAAAAATGAATGAAAAATAAAAGAAAAAAATTTAGCTTTTTTTCCTAATACATCATCACTCATCCAAATTTGAGTTACTTTAAAGATGTTTATTTTTAATAACTGACAATATGCAGTTTCTCTTTTGTTTCTGCAAATACTGTATGTGAAACCTTTTTTTTTTGTTGATACAGCATATTTAAAGTAAATAAGAATGATTATTTTAAACTACATTTTTTGATTTATAGTAGCTAATCAGTCAGTAGAATCATATACTAATGTTCACAAAAGCAATTTATTTGCTAATAAGTAAGAGTAAGTGAGAGAGAATCAAATTAATGTACAGTCGACCCCCCTATAACACAGGTTCCTATAGTTCGGATTCCTATATGACGGCGAAAAAATTGTGACGGTATCCGTACAAACCTGGTAAAAAAACTCCTATAATTCGGTAAAACATCATCGGGCAGCCGAACTACTTTCCTCCATCCAGCACCACGCTATGGAGAGTTTAGGCGGGTAAAGTGAGTTTACTATTGTCTGTACAGTACAGTAGATCCCCCTATAAGACGGTAGATACGTTCCGTTCTTTATGAATCAATTTTGTAGGAATCATAGTTTACTGACTACGGCTGTTTGAAAGGTTTTCTTTCATAAAATTAATCGATTCTAGACTAATTCGACTCAACATTTCCAAAATACGTATATTTTTTTGAAAATAATCCGTATAAACTACGTTATAAACAAAAAATTGTAGG